CGACTCGATATCCAGACTGAGGAGAAGGCGGCGCGGACTCCGAAGAAGCTGCCGTACATGGTGTTCATTATTGATGAGCTCGCGGACCTCATGATGACCAACAAAGAGGTCGAGGGCGCGATCATCCGTATTGCGCAGAAGGCGCGTGCGGTCGGGATTCACCTGATCCTCGCGACGCAGCGTCCGCAGGCGAACGTGGTCACGGGTCTGATCAAGTCGAACATGCCTTGCCGAATCGCGTTCAAGGTCGCGTCGGGGATGGACTCGCGCATCGTTCTGGACCAGAAGGGCGGCGAGCTGCTGCTCGGACAGGGCGACATGCTGCAACTGTCTCCGAGCAGTCACAAGCTCAGCAGAGCGCAGGGGACGCTGGTGGACGACAAGGAAATCCGCAGGGTTGTTAAGTTCCTCAAAGACATCGCGGCTCCGAGCTTCGAGCGCTCGCTCATGCAGGTCAAGGGAGAGCAGGGGAGCGACGAGGACCGACTCGCCGCGACAGAGAACAACTCCTCCGCATCGCTCGCGGCGGCGCAGGAAGATCCGCTGTTCGATCGCGCGGTCGAGATCGTGCTTGAGACCAAGCGTGGTTCGGTGTCGCTGCTGCAGCGCCGGCTCGCGATCGGGTACACGCGCGCGAGCCGACTCATCGATCTCATGGGCATCGCGGGGATCATCTCTGATCACAAGGGTTCGGTCGCGCGTGATGTACTGATCTCCGTAGAAGAATGGGATCTCATGAAAGAGATCGCGGCGGAGATGGAAGCGGAGCAACGTGCCGGCGGTGCTCTTGCCACTGAGGACGCTGACGAAACCGAGATGTCGTACGGCAGTGATCCGGAGGATCAGCATCAAGCGACGATGTTCATTGATGACGAAGACGCGAGCGAAGACGGAGTTGAGGGGATCGCGACTGAGGACTCAGCGGACGCGGAGTCGGATCTCGACGAGGTGCCGTTTGAGGTTGGGGTGAATCAGCACGCGGTCGAGGTGCTGGGGTCCTCTGTGGATGATGAGGACGCTGAGGAAGCGGAAGAAGAACCAGCCGACGAGCTCGAGGAAGACGAAGAGGAGTACGAGGAGGAAGAACTCGAGGTCGATGAGCTTGAGGAGGATGAGGAAGAAGACAAGGACGATCCCGAGCTGGTCGCTGAATCCGAGGAGGATGAAGAGGGCGAGTACGAACAGGATGAAGATGAGGAGCTCGTCGACGAAGCCGAGGACTCGGAAGAAGAGGAAGACGACGAAGAAGTCGAGTACGAGTACGTCGATGAGGACGGCAATCCGATCGATCCAGAGGACCTCGAAGACGAGGAATACGAGGTCGATGAGGATGCGGACGCTGAGGCGGAGTACGAGGAAGATGAAGAGGACGAAGACGCCGAGTACGAGGACGAATACGTGGAAGATGAGTACGAGGACGAGGAAGACGAGGCGCTCGCGGAAACGGGTCCGAAGGGGGCTTGATCGTCCGAAAGCCGGGTTTCTCGTCAATCCGCACGGATTGTGCGGGTTTCGGTGTGATTGCGAGTGAGAAATCTCTCTGACGAACTGAAACCAGAGACGGCTGCTTCCTATAGAAATACGATAGAGACCGTTACAGGACTGATTCGGCGATCCATAGGGGGTACCGGGCGGGCTGTGATACTGAATTTAACCACGATCGTTCCATACGAAAGGACCGTTCCCGATGCTGACGACATTCAAGACCAACACAATCCGCTCAGGTGCTGCGCTCGCGGCTCTCGCGATCTCGCTCCCTGTTATGGCGGGGACTCCAAAGGCGCTGACGATGGTTCCTGGAGATTCGGAGATTGTGGTGGTGATGCCCAATGTGGGTGAACTGCTCTCCGATATGGACAAGGTCAACGCAATGATGGGGGACATGGGGAAGCCTGAGGTCATGATGATGACCTCGATGGTGCGCGGTATGCCTGGCATGAACCTTGAAGGATCTGCCGCGGTCGTTCTCGACATGCAAGACGACTGGGAGCACGAGCCTGACGCGGTCGTGCTGCTCCCAGTGAGTAACTTCAACGATCTGACTCAAGGGCGCGAGGCGGTCAACGGGCTCGTCGAGTTCCCGATGGGTGGTCAGAACATCTATTTCCGTGACATCGGTGGTGGGTACGCCGCGATGAGCAACGATACGGACATCCTCGGATCGTTCACTCCGGCTTCGCACACGATCGAGCAGGCTCAAGCGATGCTCGGCACTGCAGGCAATCGCGTCGCATCAGCAAACGATGTGATGGTGTATGTCAGTCTCGATGCGCTGCGTCCGATGATCGAAGGATCGTTTGAAGAGATGGAGCAGCAGGGCGACATGATCGAGATGATGATGGGTGCTGAAGCAGCGCAGGGATTCGACACATTCATGAATCTCTACAAGACCGCTGTTGCTGATGGACACGCGATTGTTACCGGCATGAGCTTTGATGATCAGCAGGGATTCGCGTTTGACTTCGGACTGCAGTTCAAGGACGGCAGTGACTCGGCAGCGATGTTTAACAACAATGGTAATGCAGGAGCGTACTTCAATCGCGTGCCGCAGATGGACTTCTTCTTCGCACAAGCATTCGACCTACGCGGCGAAGGCATCCAGACGATGATCACTGAGTACATGGACCTTGTCCAGAAGATGGATAGCTCAGGAATGACCGCTGGGTTTGACTTTAATGCCTTGCTGCAACAGTTCCAAGGTGGGGCTCAGATCCTTGGAGCATCCGACGCGATGATGATGAACGGCATCCTCTCGAACACCGTCATGTACTCTGAGGGCAAAGACGCTGACGCATGCATCGAAGCGATGCAGGCGATGTACGGCAAGATGGGTGAAGTCGATCAGGATGGGGTTTCACTCAAAGCCGCGTTCTCCGATGAACCTGTGTCTGTCAACGGCATTGATGCGTACACACACTCCATGTCAATCGACATCGATCCCGCGATGATGGGTGGTGGTGGCGGGTTTGGAGCGCCGGATCCATCGATGATGATGCAGATGATGTACGGTCCGAGCCGTGGTCCGAGCGGGTACGCCGCGAAAGCGGGCGAGGGTATGGTCTTCACATTCTCACAGAATGAGGAGCTGCTCACCAAGGCATACAAAGCCGCGAGTGGTCAGAACACGATGATGAGCAATCAGGGCATCGCGTCTGCGGCAGCACTGCTCCCAGACAATCGCGTTATGGAGGCGTATGTCGGGGTTGATCACATCCTCAACACTGTTGGTCCGATGCTGATGATGTTCGGGATCGTCCCGGAGTTCGAGCCGATCGATTCGCTCACACCAGTCGCGTTCGGAGCGACTGCAGATGGTGGCGGGATGATGGTCCGCTCGGTGCTCCCGCTGAACACGGTCAAAGCGATCATGGAAATGATCCCTGAGGACGCGATGGGCGGCGGTGATGACTGGGACGATGACGACGATATGTCGTTCTGATACCCAGATTGAGTAGAAATGACGATGCTGCTCGGGACAATTGGGCATGACCCAAGCGAACGAGCTCGCACCAACTTGGCAACTCTCAGACACACGGGCGATCACTCTTGATCGCCCGTGTGTTGTTTGTATTGTCAACGCGACCCCAGATTCGTTCTCAGATGGAGGGGTGCACAATGAGATCGATCGAGCGGTCGAGTTCGTGAAGCGCGCGATCGATGAGGGCGCGGACATGCTGGATATCGGGGGCGAGTCCACGCGTCCAGGCGCCCAGCGGGTGAGCAGCGACGAACAGATCAATCGCGTGGTTCCGATCATCGAAGCGATCCGCAAGGAGGGCATCGAGATCCCGATCTCGGCTGACACAACGCTGAGTGCAGTTGCGCGTCGAGCGATAGAAGCCGGCGCGGATGCGATCAACGATGTATCCGCGATGACCGAAGATCCGCAGATGCTCGCGCTCGCGTCGGAAATCAACTGTGGGATCGTGCTGATGCACAGGCTGACCACTTCCGATCAGGATTCTTATTCGGATCAATACGAACGCAAGCCGGAGTACGGAGATGTGGTTGCTGCGGTCAGAGATCATCTCAGCGCACAGCGTGAATCAGCGATCAGCGCTGGAGTCAGGAGTGATCGGATCGTGATTGATCCTGGATTGGGGTTTGGGAAGTCCGCCGAGGACAATCTTGAGTTGATCCAGGGCACCGATCGTTTGCTCGAACTTGGGAGTCCGCTGATGAGTGGTCTGAGCAGAAAGAGCTTTGTTGGTCGCATCGGATTGGGGAGGGATTCGAATCCTCAGGAGAGAGACGCCGCGACAGTGGGGTTGTCTGTGATGCACATGCGGTATGGAGCGCGGATCTTCCGTGTGCATGATGTGGGGATTCATCGGGGTGCGTTGGACGCCGCATGGGCTGTTATGCGCGGAATTTAGGGGCAATTCAGGGTCGCCCAATTGTGTGATGGATCGGTCATTGGCGAATCGAAGTGCTAGGATTGTGACCTCGGGGTCACCTCGATCATCGGAAGGGATCCGATGGAATACAGAACAGAATGATTGCTTGAGAAGGAAAGGGCAAAATCCATGGCCGGTGCAAACACACTTGAGTTCAACGACGGCAACTTCGACGATTCGGTGCTGAGCTCCGATCAGCCGGTGCTGGTGGATTTCTGGGCCGAATGGTGCCAGCCGTGCAAGATGCTCGCTCCAACGATCGACGAGGTCGCGGACACCTACGAAGGCAAAGCGAAGATCGGCAAGCTCGATATCGACAATAACAAAGAAGTCGCGATGAAGTTCAACATCAGCGCGATCCCGACCGTATTGATCTTCAAAGGCGGCGAGGTCGCGAAGCAGTTCGTCGGTCTCACACGCAAAGAAGACATCGTCGAAGCAATGGACGCGCTTGTCTAAACAAGCCGCGCCGGATTCGGCGGTTACCAGATTTCAGGAGTTGATTTCATGACCAGTACACCAAGCACCCCACAGAACCCACTGAGATGTGGCGCCGTGGGCGTCGGTCGTATGGGGCGTCACCACGCGCGTGTTTACGCGGAGATGGAAGGCGTCGAGTTGGTGGGTGTTGTCGATGCGAATCTCGATCGCGCCAAGGAAATCGCGGCGCAGCACGGCTGTCAGGCATTCGCGACTGAGCAGGAACTGCTCGACGCGGGAGTCGACGCGGTGTCGATCGCGGTCCCGACGACTTTCCACCTCAAGAGCGCCGAGCCGTTCCTCAAAGCGGGCGTCGCGTGTCTGATCGAGAAGCCCCTCGCGGGAGACGCCGCGGAAGCGGAGCAGATTAAACGAATCGCGGAAGAGAACGGCACCTGCTTGATGGTCGGACACATCGAACGATTCAATCCGATCATGCGCGCGATGCAGAGCGCCGCGGCGACCAACAGCGAACCGATCACTCCGCGCTTCATGGAAGTGCATCGTGTGTCTCCGATGACCTTTCGCTCACTCGACATCGGTGTGGTGATGGACATGATGATCCATGACCTCGATGTGGTGCTGATGTTGATGGATGGTCGCGAGCCTGACGAGATCCAAGCGTCAGGTGTCGCTGTAGTGGGAGAATACGAGGACCTGTGCAACGCACGATTGGTCTGGAACATCCCAGAAGACGATGGCGGCGGACAGTGCGTCGCGAACATCACCGCTTCGCGTCTTGCGATGAAGACCGAGCGTCTGACTCGTATAACTGGTGAGGGCGGATACATCAAGATCGATTACGCCGCGAAGTCCGGCATGATGATCCGCAAGACCGCGAACGAGATCCAGATGCGTGAAGTCCGGGATCAGATCCGCTCAGGGAAGGACCTGACGGATGTGGATTGGACCGAGCTCATCAACATCGAGCCGCTGACGATTGATGACGGCGAACCGATTGTAAAAGAGATCGAAGCGTTTCTCGAAGCTGTGAAAACCGGAGAGCGTCCGGCGATCGATGCGGAAGCGGGATTCGCGAATGTCCGTACCGCGGAGCGGATCGTCAAAGCGATTAACCTGTCCCTCGGAACCAGAGCTCAAGCCGCGTTGTCCTAACTCGCTTCCGCTCAGGTTCTTCTTAACCAAGTTGAACATCTTTCCAAGACCACCCAGGATTCCCAACCAATGACCGACACGCCCAACCAGGCTTCTGAGAACGCAACCCCTTCGAATGAGCAAGAGCAAATCTCATCGGCGACCGAAGCCGTGACTGTTCCCGCTCCTACGAAGACCGAAACCAAGCTCGATGCGCAGACCGAAGCGGAGATCGAAGCCGCGATGGCGGATCTCGATGCTGCCGGAGCTGCGGATGCACCGAAAGCTCCAGGATCGATCCGTGGTCCACGCGAAGTGCGCGGAGGACGCGAGCATCGCACTGGGAGTGTGGTGTCTGTCGGCGCGACAGATGTGTTTGTTGAGTTTGGTCCAAAGGAACTTGGTGTCGTGGATATCCAGCAGTTCAAGGACAACAAACCAAATCCCGGCGATCAGCTCGAGGTCGTCGTCCAGCGCTACGACGCGGGAGAGTCGCTCTACATCTGCGTGCTCCCTGGCGCTGTCCAGAAAGCGGACTGGGAGATGCTCCAGGTTGGTCAGGTCGTTGAGGCACGCGTGACGGGAACGAACAAAGGCGGTCTGGAACTCGAGGTCGCGAACCATCGTGCGTTCATGCCTGCATCGCAGGTGGATCTGCAGCACATCCCGGATCTGGGAGTGTTCGTTGGCGAGAAGATGACCTGCACGATCCAGAAGCTCGATCGTCGTGGCGCTGGGAACATCGTGTGCTCTCGCCGCGAGATTCTGGTGAAGGAACGCGAGTCGGCGATGGAGTCGCTCAAGGAAGCGCTCAAAGTCGGCGACACGATGGAAGGCACAGTCCGCAAGATCATGGACTTCGGAGCGTTTGTTGATCTTGGTGGTGTGGATGGTCTGATCCACATCAACGACATCAGCCATGAGCGTGTGAACCACGGCGCGAAGAATGTCGAGCGTTTCGTGAGCGAGGGTCAGAAAGTGACCGTCCAGATCATGAAGCTCGATTGGGACACCAATCGAATCTCGCTGGGTATGAAGCAGCTCCAAGCGGATCCATTCAGCGCCGTCAAGGACGATGTCGTCGAGGGTGCGGAGATCACCGGCAAGGTGACCAAGCTCATGGAGTTTGGCGCGTTCGTTGAGGTCGCGCCAGGCGTTGAAGGTCTCGTGCACATCTCGGAGCTGGACTGGAAGCGTGTCAACGCGGTCAGCGATGTGCTCCAGGAAGGCGAGGTCGTTCAGGTCAAGGTGCTCAAGGTCGATCCGAACGACAAGAAGATCTCGCTGTCGATCAAGCAGCTTAAAGAGCGTCCGCAGCAATCCGGAGGCGGTGGCCGCGGGCGTGGCGGTCGCGGCGGAGATGCTCCGGTTGTCAAGGAAGAGACCCCTGAACTGCGTCGTCTGCGCGAGAAAGCGAAGCACAACAAGTCCGGCCAGAAAAAGGGCGGCGGCTTGGGCGACGCCGGCGGGATGGGCATGGGTCTGGGCGACCTCAAGCTCTGATCGATTGCAAATCTGAGTCACACAAGCACGGTCCAAGCGGTCCGTGTTTTTTTATAAGCTGATCGTTAGAGACCGGTCGAACCGAACCCACCCGCTCCTCGATCGGTGTCTTCGAGTGAATCAACCTCGACGATCGTCGCGTGGCTGACCGGAGCGATGATGAGCTGCGCGATGCGCATGCCGTGGGTGATGTCGATGGGGTTTCGTCCGAGGTTGATCAGCGCGACGAACATCTCTCCGCGATAGTCCGCATCGACGGTTCCCGGCGCGTTGGGGACGCTGAGGCCGTGCTTGGTCGCGAGTCCGGAGCGTGGTCGGACTTGTCCCTCGAATCCAGCGGGGATGGCGCACGCGAATCCAAGCGGGATCTTGACGATGTCTCCCGGATGAACAGTCACGCACTCAGGCATGTCATGGCGCGGCAAGCACGCGGCGAGGTCCAGTCCAGCCGCGAGCTGGGTCTGGTACTGCGGGATCGTCGCGCGATCGTCGAGTTTCATGAAGCGGACAGTCGCGGCGGACTGTCCCTCAGCGGGCTGGGTCTGGATAGAGGAAGGGCTCGTCATGGGATGACGATAGGCGATCGAAGCAGGAAGATTGGAGCGGGATGGTCGGGGCGGGATTAGAGAGCAGCGAGGTCGTCGTCGCTCAGGTTCCGGCGGAGATCGTCGATGACGCGGTTGAACGAGTCGATGAGCTTGCGCGTCGAGGTGATCGCGTTGTCCATGGAGGAGTTGCCGGTAACGCGCTTGAGGAGGTCATCCTGGTTGATCGATGCGAGGTTGCGTTCGGAGATCTTTTTCGCGTCCAGGAGTGATTGCAGCAGCGCGTTCGCATCGTCACGGCGTTGTGTTGTCTGCGCAAGCAGCTGAGCTTTTGAGAGTTTGGGAGCGGATTCGGTATGGATTGCTACGATCGGATCAAGAGTGCTTGCAGAGCGTGGTGGATTCGTTGTTTGTTGTGCAATCGTGGACATGTCGTCTCCGTGTGGTCAGGTCTCGTTTCGGATCAGTAACTGTCCAGTGCGAGTCCTGTTTCCTGACCTCAATATCGGTCCGTTCCGAAGGGGTAATTGTCGCATCTCCAGCAGTGGAAGTCAAATAGGTACGAATTTGTGCGCCGATCTTGCGGTGTTCTCTCGTCAGAATCCCCGAAAATGGGCGATATTGCGAGATATTGGACTCGTGATCGACATCGCGTGTTATTCGTCGTCATCATCGTCGTCCGACGCTCTTGCAGGTTTGCTGCTCTTTTTTCCAAGGAATCCGAGTTGGATGAACAAGCCGATGATCGTGATGATGATCCACGATACAGCCCAGACCACAGCGGATTGATCGAGGAATCCTGGGATTTCTCCATTGCGTGCGGTGAGCAAAGCAGTTCCCGCTCCAATCCACGCGGCGGATCCGGTCAGGCTTGTGACGAGTGCCGCGGCTCGGTTGGGCATCACGACGCCGACAAGCAGTCCAAGCGCCAGTCCCGCGAACATCGAGGAGAACGCGACCATCTTGTCGCGTGTTGGTCTTGAATCCAGATCTTCTCTGACAGTCTCCACAACACGGGCAACGAAAGCACGTGAGCGTTCCGCGGCGTCGAGGATGTCGTTTTTGGTATCGTCATCAATCAGCGGGTTTTCTGAGTCGCCGTTGATGAGATTGACGGATCGTTCCGCGGCTTCGACAGAGAGTGATTCAGTTGCGGCGTTGAGCGCATCGGTGGTGAGGTCGCCGGATTCAGCGATCATGGATTCGGTCTGCGAGAGGTCCTGATCAGCGGTGGTTGTGGGATAGAAGTGCAGGTAGACCATCGCGCCAAGCAGTCCTGCAGCCGCGAACGCGATCGCGGCGGTGAGCGTGATGACCATGCGGAACATCGCGAGCATGACGAGTCCGCCGATGATGGCGCCGACGATGAGTCCGGTGAATCCTGGATTGATCGTGACGCTTCCGAGATCGAACGGCGGGAGTCCGGTGAGCGGGACGATGGTGGTTCCGACGAATCCGCCGACGGCGACGCCGAAGATGAAGAACGCGGGCTTGACGATTTTGGCGCCAAAGAGCCAGAGCATCAATCCGCCGGCGAGGAGGAAGAAGAGAGGGACGGAGCCACCCTCTGGGAGGGACTGCGCGAGCGTGAATGATGGAGTGGTGATGATGGTGGGGTCCATGATGGGTTCTTGGGGATTGGTGGGGGATGCTTTCGCGGTCTAAGGCGTGTCTCAGGGGAGAGATATGCGTGAAATATCGGACAATCATACACGAATCGGTGATCTTCATTGACGATCAGCGCTTCGATAGGCGATAAGGAGCAATGCATGGCGAAAAAGAGCACCAAGAAGAAAGCCGCGTCGAAGGGTTCGAAGAAGACCAGCGCCAAGGGTGTGGAGTCTCAAGCGGACTCCGCGGCACTCGATTCGCTGCGCAAGAAGATCGATCGGATCGACAAGAAGCTCGTCGCGATCCTCAACGAGCGAGCTTCGTGCGTCGTCGAGGTGGGGGAGATCAAGCGGGGCAGCGATACTCCGATCTACGCGCCCCATCGCGAGGCGCAGGTGCTCCAGCGGGCGCTGGATAACAATCAGGGACCGCTCCCCGATCGGACGATTGAGGCGGTTTACCGCGAGATGATGTCGGGATCGTTCGCGCTCGAACGACCACTGCGGATCGGGTTCCTGGGACCTCCCGGCTCGTACTCGCATCAAGCATCGGTCAAGCAGTTCGGATCGTCGGTGGAATACACGGATCTTCGATTGATCGGATCGGTGTTCGACGAGGTCCGCCGAGGTCACGCGAACTACGGACTGGTCCCGATCGAGAACTCGATTGGTGGAGGGATCACGGAGACGCTCGACGCGCTGTGGAGCAACGCGGGGAAGGTGCACGTGTACGCGGAGATCCAGATCGCGATCCATCACATGTTCCTGAGTGATGCGGATCCAAAGCACATCCGTCGGATTCATTCCAAACCTGAGGTGTTTGCACAGTGCCGGGAGTGGCTCAGTGCGCAGTATCCTGACGCGACACTATGTCCCGATGCCTCGACGAGCCAATCCGTCAAGACGGCATTGGAAGAGAACAAGACCGCACGCTCGATCGGCGCTGATCCGGGATCGGCGTCCATCGCGTCTGAGCTGGCGGGGGAGCTCTACGGCGCTCCGATCCTGTTTGAGGGGATCGAGGATAATCCCGACAACATCACGCGTTTCTATGTGATCTCCAAGGAACGAGCGGGACGCACGGGCGACGACAAGACAGCGATCACATTCGTGACGGAAGATAAGCACGGGGCGCTGGTCGAGGTGCTCCAGTCCTTCCACAACGCGGGCGTGAACCTGAGCCACATCGACAAGCGTCCATCGGGACGCGAAAACTGGAACTACACCTTCTACATCGATGCCAACGGGCATCGCGATGATCCGGAGATGAAGAAGGCACTCAAGGACGCACGCGTCCACTGCAAAGAGATCCAGGTGCTCGGATCGTTCCCGCGATCGACGCGGATCCTCTGATCTATCCACGCTCGTTCGCGTATCATTGCGTATGAGCGGCGTACCAACCATATCAGTGTCGATGGGCGACCCCGGCGGGATCGGGCCTGAGGTTTTGGTGCGCGCTCTCGCTGAGATAGGACGCCGCAAGCGTGCCCGTTTCCTGATCCATGGCTCGTCATCTGTTCTGCACAATGCGGCGCAGGTCTGCGGGATCGATCCGTTCTGGTGGCAAGTGGATGAACGCTCTCCTTTGGTGTCGACGATCCAGACGCATCCGATCGTGCTGCTCGATTCGGATCCACGGATGAAAGAGGAAGGGATCGAGTTCAGCTTCAATGGCAAGCCGGATCGCATATCCGGCGCAATGAGCTTTCACTGGGTGAAGGACGCGATCGAGGACACGATGCGAGATCCGAGCGATCCGCTGCATGCGCACGGGATTGTCACGGCACCGATCAACAAGCTCGCGTGGTCGCTCGCTGGGAAGAACTATCCTGGACACACAGAACTGATCGCTAAGACACTGGGACAGCGCCGATTCGCGATGATGTTCGTTGGCAAGAAACTCCGCGTGGTGCTCGCGACGGTGCACATCGCGCTCAACGACATCCGCGATGTGCTGACTATTGGGAAGGTCCATACCGCGATCGATCTGGGACACCAGGCGTGTCTGGATCTCGGGATCAGACGACCACGCATCGCCGTGTGCGGGCTGAACCCCCACGCGGGCGAGGATGGGTTGATGGGCGACGAGGAGCATCGCTTGATCAAGCCTGCGATTGATCTCGCGATCGAGTCGGGTATACGCGTCGAGGGGCCCTTCCCAGCAGACACGATCTATCGTCCTGCGATGGAGGGGAAGTACGACCTGGTTGTCGCGATGTACCACGATCAGGGTTTGATCCCAGTCAAGTTGCTCGAGCGCGATGATGCGGTGAATATCACATTGGGGCTTGGTGATGTTGTGCGGACCTCTCCAGATCACGGCACTGCGTTCGACATCGCGGGCAAGGGGATTGCTGATCCCGGCTCCATGAGCAGCGCAATTGATCTTGCGATCGAGATGTGCAATGCGAAGAGGCAAACAGCTGCGATGTAAGAAAATGATGTGTTTTGCAGGAGTTGTTTGACCAAGAGTCTTTTTCTGGTACACTCTCCGCACTATGAACACCATCAACTGACATTTCGACTCGTCAAATTTTGGCAAAGAAATGAACGATCCCGCATCTATCAGCGGTGAGCGTCGGTACACAGGGTTCATATCCCACATTTCAGTTTGGATATCAAGATGTCAGAAGTGCACGAACCAACTTCGGTTGATCGGTCCGTCGAGTCTATGGACGCGGATCTGGATCAAGCCGAGCAGACAACACAGCCCGTTGATGAGCGGGAGTTGAACACAGCGCCGAGCGCTGAGGGTGACCATGCGCTGAGCGAGATGCTTGCGATTGCGCTGCCTTCGGTCGCGACGATGGCGTCGTACACCGTGATGCAGTTTGTCGACAAGCTCATGGTCAAGGAGATCGGTCCAGAGCCCGTCTATGTATCAGCGCAGTCCAACGGCGGGATGATGGCGTGGATGATGATGTCGTTCGTGCTTGGGATGACGGGAGTGATCAACTCGTTCGTCTCCCAGAATCTCGGCGCGGATAAACCAGAACGCGGCGCGGCGTACGCGTGGAACGGACTCTGGGTCGGCGCGGTCTACTGGGCGCTGATCTTGGTTCCAGCGGCGTTCGTCGTGCCGGGTTTGTTCTCGCGCATCCACAGCGGCGAGACGATGCTCATCGAGCTCGAATCCAACTACGCGACGATCATGCTGTTTGGTGGTCTGGGAACGATCATCAGTCGATGCGTGCATCACTACTTCTATGGGATGCATCGTCCAAAGGTCGTTCTCGTGAGCGCCTTGTGTGGCAACGCAACGAACATCTTCCTCAACTATGTCCTCATCTTCGGGAACCTTGGAGCTCCGAAGCTCGGACTCACCGGCGCCGGAGTCGCGACGGTCATCGGTGGATTCGTCGAGTTTCTGATCCCGATGGCGCTGTTCCTGAGTCCACGCTACGCGATTCAGTACGGCACGCGCAAAGCGTGGCGGCTGAGTGTCGTGTGCATCAAGGGCTTGTTCAAAGTCGGATTCGCGCCGGGACTCATGTTCGTCAACGAGATGGCGTGCTGGGCAGCGCTCATGGCGTGGCTCGTCCCGATGGGTGGCGAAGCGATCGGTGACGATCCGGTCTGGCACAACACGACGGGATGGATCGCGCTGCAGTACATGCACCTGAGTTTCATGCCTGCGGTAGGTCTGTCGATCGCGACGCAAGCGATGGTTGGGAAGGCGATGGGGATGAAGCGTCCCGATATTGCTCTTGAGCGGACGAAGCTGGCGCTCAAGATCACAATGGGGTACATGGCGCTGTGCGCCTTGGTATTTGTCGTGTTCCGCGGACCACTCATTGGGTTCTTTATCAACAGCGACACACCACCTGAACTTCGTGAGAAGCTCATCGCGATCGGTTCGTCTGTGATGATCGCGGCGGCGGTGTTCCAGATCTTCGATGCAATGGCGATCACGACCTCCGCTGCATTGCGTGGCGCTGGAGATACCATTTGGCCGGGCGTCGCGACGATCGTGCTGTCGTGGGTCTGTATCCCAGGCGTTGGTCTGGCGCTGATCCACTGGATGCCTCAGCTCGGATCGATGGGTCCCTGGATTGGTGCATCGTTGTACATCATCGCGCTGGGGATCGCACTGAGTATTCGATTCCTCGGCGGGAAGTGGAAGACGATGTCGCTTGTGGAAGCGGATCAGGAGCCGGATCTGGATCCGTTTGACGATGTGCTTCCCGATCCGACCCTGACAAGTGGCTAATGTGCTGGGTGTCTGAGACTTGCGTTTGGTCCGTTGTGGGCCTAGACTTACGACCGCCTGAATGAGCATTCGGGCTTGTTTGATCAGGAGAACACATGACCAACGATCCCATGGACATGGTGGTCGGGGCTTCGGCCGCCGCCGCTGACGCACAGAACGCTAAAGACCTGTATACACAAGCGTTGACCCAACTCAACGATGGTTACCGAAGCGAGGGCATCGAGTCCCTGCGCTCGGCGCTTGCCGCGGATCCAGGGAATCTGGATGTTGCGTTCAAGCTCGCGTACCAGCTCGATCTGCAAGGCGATGAAGAAGAAGCACTCTCGCTCTACGAGCGTGTGTGCGAGCACGCGCCGGCACCGATCAACGCGCTCATGAACCTCGCGGTCCTCTACGAGGATCAGGGTGATTATGTGCGTGCGGAGCGCTGCTTGCGTCAGATCTTGGACACGAATCCGAACCACGCTCGTGCGCGTCTGTTCATGACCGATGTTCTTGCCTCCAAGGGCATGATGGTCGAAGAAGAGAACGAGCGGGACATCATGAAGCGTCGTGCGCTGCTTGATACTCCTGTGACGGACTTCGAGCTCACTGTTCGTGCTCGTACATGTCTCAAGAAGATGAACATCCGTACGCTCGGCGATCTGATCCGTATCAACGAATCGGAACTCATGAGCTACAAGAACTTCGGAGAGTCCTCGCTCGACGAGATCAAGCGGATGCTCGCGGTCAAGGGTCTCAAACTTGGTCAGGGTCACGAGGACGCGCACCGCGTTGCTCGCCGTCAGATCCTCGAGAAGCTCAAGGGATCAGGCAAAGAGCAGTTGCTCTCCAAGCCTGTTTCTGAGCTCCAGCTCACTGTGCGTGCTCGCAAGGCGCTCCAGATGCTCAATATCCAGAGCATCGGGGACCTCTGCTCGCACACCGAAGCAGAGCTCATGGGAGTCAAGAACTTTGGTTCGACCTCGCTCGTCGAGATCCACGAGAAGCTGACCAACTTCGGTTTGTCGCTTCGTGTGATCGATGACAACGAGTAAGAAGAACTCACACTGAATACTCAGCCCCGGCAAATGCCGGGGTTTTTTTATTGCATGCTTTGAACACTGCGTGTACTATCAGGGCTGATGCAAGCACCCATTGTGTAAATCCTGAGCGTGTTCTTCTATACACATCGGCGCCGTTGGAAAGAAACGGCGCCTGACACCGATCCGGTGCTTTTTGTTGTGCCGGGATCGATAAGGATTCACAGTTGAAACATCATGATAAGCACGCCCGAAAGCAGGGCGGATTTCACTGCATTCATTGCAAGGGGTATGTCTCGTATCAATCGTTTGGAACCAATCAGCGCAACCACTGTCCGCATTGTCTCTGGTCGAGGCATGTGGACGACAAGATCGGAGATCGACGATCGCCTTGCGCTCAACCGATGGAACCGATCGCGATCGCAGGGCGATCCGATGGGGAATGGGTGCTCGTGCACCGCTGCACAGGATGCAGTCAGCTCCGCATGAATCGGATCGCGGGAGACGATGATGAGCTCGCGTTGCTGGCGCTGGCGCTGCGTCCGATCTCATCGCCCGCGTTCCCGCTGGAACTGCTCCCAAGATTTCGGATGTGATGCAAACTCAGTTCGAAGATCAATACCGGGTTCGTCCCGGTTTTTTATTGGGATTCTGGTTTATCGCGCGTGCCGGATTTGTTGAACTTCAGTCTTCCCTCGGCGTAATCGGTAGCGCTTCCCTCAATTGTCGGGTGTTGTCCAGATTGATGTTGATTGTGGAGCTCTTTGAGGTAGGGGACGCACCAGCCGCATCCTGTTCCGGCGCCGAGACATTCCGAAATGAGCGACGCGACAGGGGGATTCTCTCGAGCCAAATATGTGCGGACTTTGACGAGCGGCACATGGAAGCACAAGCAGACATCGTCCTGAGGTTTCATGTCGTTGCTCCGTGTGTCAGGAGAGGAGTAAAGGGGGTCTTTGTGCTATTGTATAGAGCCTTTTCTTCGCTCGCATTGCTGGAGTCTGCATGGTCCTTTATTTTGTCTTTACGGTATTTCTATCCGCCACGCTGTTGTTCTCAGTCCAACCAATGGTGGCCAAGAGTCTGCTCCCAGTATTCGGAGGGAGCTCATCCGTTTGGACAACCTGTATGTTGTTCTACCAGACTGTGCTGCTGCTTGGGTACTTGTACGCGCACTTTGTGATGAAGCGTGTCTCGCGCCGCATGCAACTCATGGGACATATCGCGATGCTGATCATCGCACTCGCTGCGGGGATTCTCTTCGATACGCCCGAAGCACCACCCAGTGCGACGACCTTTCCCGTGCCTTGGTTGATTCTTCAGCTCGCTCTCGTCTCAGGCTTGCCGTTCTTCATGATCTCCAGCGCCGGACCACTGGTGCAGGGATGGTTCGCTCGCACGGGTCACAGCAAAGCACATGACCCATACTTCCTGTACGCGGCGAGCAACGCCGGGAGTTTCTTTGGTCTGCTTGCGTATCCATTCTTGATCGAGCCAACACTGGGGCTTGATTCTCAGCGAGAAGTGTGGCTCAGTGGATTCGGGGTCTTCATCGTGCTGAGTTTCGGCGCGATCCTGATGACGCGGAAAGGTGCGAAGGATGATCCGCATGCTCCACCTCCAGAGGTGCTCGCGCCGCCGGAGGATACTGAGCAGACACAAACGACTGATCTGCCGATCACTTGGTCTCGCCGTTTGCGTTGGGTCTTTTATGCCTTTGTTCCTTCGTCGATGTTGCTTGGGGTGACGAGTCACATCACGATGGACATTGCTTCGTTCCCGCTGCTCTGGGTGTTGCCACTCGCAGTGTATCTGCTGACCATGATCATCGCATTCGCGGTGGACGCCGAGAAGTTTGTCGCCGTGATCCGTAGACCGATGGTGATCGCGGTCATTGGCGCGACGGTATTGGTACTCGCGTCAGAGGCTCAGAACTATGCTCCGCTTCCTGCGTTGGTCTCGGTCCAGTTGATTCTGCTTGCGCTTGTTGGACTGACGGGACACGGGCTGCTCGCGAAGGATCGGCCGGGAGCAGAACATCTCACTGAGTTTTATCTGATCATGTCGATCGGCGGCGCATTGGGTGGGGTGTTCAACGGGATCGTCGCTCCGCTCTTCTTTGAAACGACCCTCGAATACCAGATCATGCTGATCTGCGCTGTCTCACTGATTCCCTGGCGCTCTATCCGATCATTGAATGATCAGAAATCCAAAAACACCGCATTGCTCACACGCTATGGGCTTCCGCTCTTTAGTATTTTGTACATGGTGGTCATGGGGTTGTTTGTCAGTGATTTGATCGACCTGTTACCGATCACAATGAGCGATCGACCAATCGCACTATTCGGATTCATTGTCATTGTTCCAGCGGTACTCATCTACCTTGCGTGGAGTGATGGGCTCGCGTGCATGCTCGTGCTTGCAGTGCCGTTGAGTGCTTCGGTCTATGACAAACTGACCGATCCACGGATCCAGTATCGGAGCCGAACTTTCTACGGCGTGTTGAGTGTAGTTGACGAACAGTTTTACGATCCGGAAATCGACAGATTGATGACAGTACGAACCATCATGCACGGCACCACCAATCATGGTGTGCAATACCTCGACGATGCATTCAAGGATGTGCCGTTGGGGTATTACCACACCAATGGTCCATGCGGCATGGGGATCCGTGCGCTCAAGGAGACGAAACCCGACGGAGCGCGCATCGGGATCGTGGGGCTTGGGTCCGGAGCAATCACGGCGCACGGGCGAGCAAACGATACAATTCGGTACTTTGAGATTGATCCGGAAGTCGCGGACATCGCGCAGGATCCCGAGTTCTTCACCTACTTGTCAGACGCTGAGTGCGAAGTTGATGTAGCGCTCGGAGATGGACGGCTGCTTTTGGAGGAAGAACGACGGATTGGTGAAGATCCATACGACATGGTGCTCATCGACGCGTTCAGTTCTGACGCGATCCCTGTTCACCTACTGACAGATGAAGCGATCCAGCTTTACTTTGATCGATTGAACGATGATGGGATTATCTTGCTCCATGTATCGAATAGGCATCTCAGATTCCAGCCATTGGTATTCGAACTGGGCAGGAAGCACAAAGCGTATGTGATGCGCTATGAACAGCAGCGTGATGAGATCCCAGATCACATGGAAGATTACTGGTTCCCATCTATCTGGATCGCGTTGACCAAGGATACAACGAGCGCTCAAGCGCTCTTGGATGCCGGCATGTTCCAGCAAGGGGAACCAATGTTTGATGTCCGACTCTGGACGGATGAGTATTCGAATATCCTCTCGCTTTTCCAATGAACTGCTGAAAAACAAACGCCGATAAGGGACAGATATGACTCAGTATCAATCCAGACTGACTTACCAGACCGCCGGTGAATCGCACGGACCGGCGCTTATCGCAACAGTCATGGGAGTTCCGGCGGGACTCACGATCGACACGGACATCATCAATCGCGAACTCGCACGCCGACAAGGCGGGTACGGGCGTGGGGGAAGACAGAAGCTCGAGACCGATACGGTCGAGATCCTGACCGGTGTGCGACTTGGAAAGTCCATCGGATCTCCGATCACGATGCTGATCAAAAACAGAGACTCTCGGCTGGATGACCTGGAGCGAACACCTCCGGTCTATCGACCACGCCCTGGTCACGCGGACCTCGCGGGGTCGATCAAGTGGCTGACGACCGATTGTCGTGAAACGCTCGAACGCGCCAGCGCTCGCGAGACCGCGGCTCGTGTCGCGGCGTGCTGCATCGGACGCTTGCTGCTCAAGCAAGTCTTTGAGGTCGAGGTCTTCGGATTCGTCCGTTCGATTCTGGACGCAACGTCCGATGTGCAAGTGAGCATGGATGGACTCGATGCACTGATCGCCGCACGCGACGAATCCGCGACCTACACGCTCGATCCGCGAACTACGGAACAGCAATGCGACATCATCCGTGAAACCAAGTCCGACAAGGACACTGTCGGCGGTGATGTTGAGTGCCATGTATTCAATTGTCCTCCCGGCATCGGGAGTTCGATGAACTGGTACGAGAAACTCGACTCTCGCATCGCTGGAGCAGTGATGGGGATCCAAGCATTCAAAGCCGTTGGGATCGGATTGGGTGCCGAGTGTTCGAAGCGGTTGGGTTCCCAGCTTCATGATCCGATCGCGTTCGATCCGAGCAAAGTGAACACGCCTTCGCTTGGGTTTGTGCGTTCGAGTAACAATGCTGGCGGGACCGAAGGCGGTATGACCAACGGGCAGCCCGTCGTGGTGACGGGAACTATGAAACCCATCGCGACACTGCTGCAGGGACTCCCGAGCATCGATCTCAACTCAAAGAAGGCCGAGGATTCACAGTACGAACGCAGCGACATCTGTGCTGTGTCTGCCGCAAGCGTGGTGATGGAGAATGTGGTTGCGTTCGAAGTTGCTGCGGCGTTCCTGGATAAGTTCGGAGGCGACAGCGTAATCGAAACACGCGGCAACTACGACGCTTTCCTCGATGTGGCGCGGACCCTCCCGCTTGATCATCCAGATGAGCCGGGAACGGTCATCGCTTAATCGACGATTCGCAGGATGACATTCCCACGCTTGTGACCAGTATCGACATGGCGGTGCGCCTCGACGGCTTCGTCGAGCGGATAGGTCCGATCTATTACGGCTTTCATCGATCCATCCTCGACAAGCGCGAGCAGTTTCGTGATTGACTCTGCCTTTGTAAACGCGACACCCGATTTGGTTCTGGTCGTTTTGCGAGTGAGTTTATACACCACTGGCGTCCAGATCATCTGCAAGACTTCGGGAGCTCGCATCACCGCTGGGAGGAACATGCCTCCAGGTTTCATGAGATGCTTGCACATGCCGCGGCTTGATTTGCCCACCGCGTCGTACACCACATCGAATCTGAAGCTGTCCTCAACCGTCTTTGTCCCCAGATTGTCCTTCGTGTAGTCAATGACTTCATCAGCGCCCAATGAACGAACAAGATCATGATTCGCGCCCGAACACACGGCGGTGACATGGGCGCCGAGGTGCTTCGCGTACTGGATTCCCGAAACGCCCAGCGCACCTGAGGCGCCGATGATGAGCACACGTTGACCGCTTTGGAGCATTCCAAGATCACTGAGGAAGTAGATCGCTGCTGATCCACCAAAGCTCAGAGCCGCGGCTTCCTCGTAACTCAAATCATCCGGAATCGGTTGAGTCAATCCGTCTCCGCTCGCTGCTACAAACTCCGCATGTGCCCCAAAGTCCATCTCCGTTGATGCGAGCACGCGTTGTCCGACGCTCAGTCCTTGGACATCGCTGCCAATCTGCTCCACTACACCAGCAACGGATGTGCCGAGAATCTGTTTGCGTGGTTTGAAGAGGCCGATCATGAATCGAGCCGGGATCGCGAACAGGAGTGATGGGATATCCCAAGCACGCAATCGCGCATCACCAGTGGTGACGCTCGTTGCGTGTACCTTGATCAGTACTTGATCATCTTTGATCCGAGGTTTGGGGACTTGTTGAATCTGCACCACTTCAGGGGGACCGTATTGCTCGTAGACCGCTGCTTTCATGGTTTCGTTGTAGGATTGAGTCTTCATAATGTTCTCATGAGAAGCTGTGCTTTATTACATAGGCAGAATGACCTATGGCATACAAACGAGGTACGAACATCAAGGTGATTTCTGCCGAGTTTGGACGATCTGTGCAAAATGCGTGATCAAATCGTGGTCTATTTGCTGATGCATCGTCGATGCAGCGTATACGCATCTGGTGTGTCGGTGCGTTGTGTGACTCCATGAATTGCTCTCTCTTGCGGCATCGCCAATTGGCTTGATGCCGCGCTCCTCTATGCCCCCGTCCGCTCCCCCGGACGGGGGCATGACTTATTAGGAACCAATCCGCTCCAGCAACTGTTGTTCGATCGTTGGCCATTGTTCTGGGATGATTGAGTACACCACGGTATCGCGGTAATGACCATCAGGCATCACGATGTGATTGCGAAGCGTACCTTCGAAGACGGCGCCGAGTTTGAGGATCGCTGCTCTGGATCGTTTGTTTCGTTCGTCTGTGCGGAGCTCAACACGGATTACCCCGAGTTCCTCAATCGCGTGCTTGAGCATGAGGTATTTCATGGAGGGATTGATCTTGGTGCCGCGCGCCGAAGCAGCAATCCAGGTTGATCCGATCTCGAGCCCGCGATGATCACTCCGGATGTTCATGTAACTGGTTGAGCCGATCGCTTTTCCAGTGGTGTTGTCGATAACTGCGAACACGAGTGCTTTCGTTCTCGACAACTGGAACTCAATGTAGCGTCGGACTTCTTTGGGAGTCCGCACAGATGAACGCATCGGCATAAACTCGAACACGAGGTCATCCACTGCTACATGAATATCGTCAGCGTGTTTCATGGACAATGGTTCAAGTGTGACGAACTCGTTCGATAGAGTCACAGAATTGACAACCATTGGTTCAAGTATTGCAGGATTTGGCATGCACAAGTTTAGTGCAGCACGCGGAAGACTTCCGCTTCGTCGGTCAAGCCTTGCTTGACCTTCTCCATCGCGTCGACCTTCATCGGCTCGAATCCCGAATCGACCGCTGCTTCGTACAGCGTCACGCCGTCGGCGCGCGATGCGGTCAGGTGACGGAGCTTGTCGTTCATGAGCATGAGCTCGTGGACCGCGAGTCGTCCCTTGTATCCAGTTCCGAAACAGGTCTCACATTGATCGCCTTCATGACGACCTGTGCCGTGACAGGTGGTGCAGATGCGGCGCATCAGGCGCTGCGCGAGCACGCCGAGCAGCGACGAGGTGACCAGGTACGGCTCAACCCCAATATCCAACAAACGCGGGATCGCACTGGGCGCGTCATTGGTGTGGAGTGTCGCGAGCACGAAGTGGCCCGTGAGCGAAGCTTGGATCGCGAGCTGCGCGGTCTCTGGATCACGGATCTCACCAACAAGAATCACATCGGGGTCTTGTCGCAGGAGTGAACGCAGACCGGTCGCGAAAGTGACTTGTCGTTTGACATTGACCTGCATCTGCGAGATGCCATCGAGGTGGTATTCAACGGGATCTTCGATGGTCATGACATTGCGCGTCGCGCGATCGATGCGACCAAGGGCCGCGTAGAGCGTTGTGGTTTTACCCGAACCTGTTGGGCCGGTGACGAGAAGGATACCGTTGGGGCGCTCGACGCAGTCCATGAGTTTGGTCTGCATCTTCTTCGCCATCCCAACAGCACTCAGGTCGAGTTCTTGGTTGGACTGGTCGAGCAGACGCAGCACTATCCGCTCGCCGAAGATGGTTGGGATGACTGAGAGACGGATGTCGATCTTCTTCGATCCGATCCGCACTGTCGTTTGGCCGTCCTGAGGGGAGTGTCGATTCGCGATGTCGAGTTCCGTCATGACTTTGAGACGCGAGGAGATCGCCGCCGCGAGGGTCGGTGGGGGACTGAACGCGTCGACGAGCATGCCGTCGATGCGCAAGCGGATCGCGAGACGCTCTTCCATCGGATGGACATGGACATCCGAAGCGCCCCTTCGGAGCGCTTCAAACAAGATCATGTTCACAAGACGGATGACCGGCGTCTGACGCGCTTGTGCGAGCAGGTCTGTTGTCTTCCCGATGGCGCCTGCGGCGGATTCGATCGCGGATTGATCGAGCGGGATGTCCTCGACGATTTCCGTGACGAGATCGCCTCGTTGTTCGTATCCACGATTGATCAGATTCGCGACCGCGGCTCGTGGTGCGAGGAGGATCCTGATTGGCGCATCCAACTCATCCTCGAGCATCGTGAATACGCTGGGTTGCATCGGGCGCGAGGTCGCGAGGACGAAGGTCGATCCATCTCGCTCGACACACGCGACCTGCACGCTGCGTGCTTTGGTCGGATCGATGAGTTCGTAGAAGCGTGAAGATGATTCCTTGAGCTTCGGATCCTGCTCGTACGGGAGCCCTGTGCGATCTGACAAGAGCTTGAGGGCGCTTGATTCATCGAGTGCGAGCGACTGGAGCATCACATCCCAAGGCTCGTCGTCCGAGCCGTCGATGGATGCGAACGCTTTGAGTTGCTCGCCGCTGAGTTTGAGTGGTCCAAGCGCACGAGCCGCGTCGTCCCACGCGTCCACGACGACCGGCGCCATGTCCTTGGAGCGAGCGATCGAGCTGTTGCTCTTGTCGCGTTTGATGAGTCCGTTGCGTTTGCCCATCGCTTAGTCCATGTCCTCGTTTGGATCGATGAGCACAGGGGTCAGCGACGGCTCGAACGCATCGGGTTCAGGTTGAGGTGGAAGCGACTGGCGTTCAAGTTCGAAAGCATCATCCGTTTCTTGTTTTGCTCGACCTTTGTTCGAAGCGTTGATTGAGACCGATTCAAGATCAGGCACACGCGGATCAAGTTCCATCTCCGCGTATGGTCCCTCGCTCATCAATTTCAGATCAAGGAAGTTCGGATCGGTCATGATGCGTGGAGTCAGGAACACATAGAGCTTGGACTGCGTGTTGATCTTGCTGGTGTTCTTAAACAGCTCACCAACGAGCGGGATGTCACCAAGCAGTGGGACCTTGACGACTGTGTCGCGGACATTGTCCACAGTGATCCCGCCGATGACGATCGTCGCATCCGAAGGGACACTCAGCGCACCTTGCACGGTGTTCCGATCACGAGGAGGAGGTGAGCCGTCTTGTCCCTGCGTCGCGGTAAAGTTCGAAAGCTCGACATAGTACTCGAGACGCAGGTACCCGCCATCGGAGATCGATGGCGTGACGCGAAGCGTGGTCCCTGCTTCAGCGAATCCAGCGAACGCGGAGACATTCCCGCCGTCGCTCAGCGAGATTTCTTGGAATGGTTGTTCGGAGAGCGAAACGATCTCCGCTTCCTGATTGTCATTCACAAGCAGCTGAGGCGTCGAGAGGATCCGCACATCGGTATCCGTCTGGCTCGCGTTGATGATGATCGGGATCTGGTCCGTCATGATGACCGCCGCGGTCAGTCCCGCGAGTCCGGGATTTACATTCCGGAGATCACCGAATGTTGAGGTGTCTGGGAGCGATGAGAGTGTGTTTCCTGTATTTAGTCCAAACTGTCCCGCGTTGATCTGCGATTCAAACGCGAGCGAGAAGTTCTCGGTATCCGAAACAGACACGATCATGGCTTGGAGATACACCTGAGGCTTGCGGCGATCCAGACGCGTGATCAGTTTCGCAAGATCGTCCTGCTGCTTGATCGGAGCGCGGACAACGACCTGGTTGTTGTCCGGATCCGCGATGACCGCGACGATGTCGGGGTCAAACGCCGCGGTGACATCCGAACCTCCGCTTGCTCCGAATGCTGGACGGAACTCAGAGACGGCGTTGTTTCGACCTGATGATCCGGGAAGGAAATCAGATTCGCCCGTTTGTTGCTGACCCGTGATGATCGCGGTCATGAGCTCCGCAACGATTTCCGCGTCCGAGTGGTTGAGTACATACTCCTTGATGACAACGCGCTCGTCCTCGGTTCCGAGTTCTTTCATCAGATCTGCGAGCTGTTGCTGCTGCGCCGGCGTGCCGTAGTAAACGATGTTGCCGCGTGTGGTGTCCACAACCATGACCGGACCGCCGGAGCTGGTATTTGAGGTTTGATTCTGGAACGCGTTCTGGTTGTTGAGTCGGATGTTCCCTTGCGCGAATGGGTTGTTTGAATCATCCGTGATTTGGATGACCTCTCCCAACCCTCGGCTCTTCGCGATGTCCGCGATCTGAGCAGCGGATGATCCAGCGAAGTAGTTCTTTGGTTCGAGTGTATTGGGAACATCAATGACTTCAAGGACTTCCTCGACGCGTGCGATTTCCGCTTCGGTGCCTTTGAAGATCAACGCATTGCCTTGCGGGTCAATGGTGATGCGATCCGCCATATTCGAGAGCGAAGCATTGGACAGTCCAACAGTGCCTTGTGCACCAGGCTGGCTCTGAACAACGCGATTCTGACCTGAACTGTTCCCACCGACGAGTCCGACCGCACGCTCGAGAGCAGCGGGAGCCGCGAGGTGATCGAGCTCAAAGCGGATATAGCGTTGATCGTCGTCGATCTGGATCAGCTGTGCGATCAGCGCTTTGATCCGACTGATATCGCGCGGCGGTGCGTTGATGATGATGACCCCAAGCTCGTCGATCGCTTGGATCGGGCCGCTCTTGGCATTGGGCGCGGCGCTGAGTCCCGATCCGAGCGAGGCGCTGAGCGCTGGAACCATCAATGAAGGCTTGATATTCGGGGTTGGGATGATCTGCGTGCTCGGACGCTCCGATCCCATGTTGGGACGCACATCAGCGACAGGCTGAACAATCCAGAAGTCCGAGGTGGGTTCGTGCGAGATGGTGAACGAGTACTGCTCAAGCATCGCATCGAGCAGTTCAATAAGCTGACTCTTGGGGATCTCGACTGGCGCGTGGAAGGTGACCTCTCCTGTCGGAGCGCCTTTGACGATGATGTTGATGTCGAGTGATGATCCGACATACTCGATGAGCGTGGTCAGCTCGATCGGTTCAGAAAACGCGCCGAAGGACACCGTGGGTTCCTTGCGTGTGTCCTGACGATCGCTAGAGTCGTTGCGCTTGATGATCGGCGGGTTGTTCTGACGCGTCGGCCGATCGACTCCCCAGTCCATGACCGGCTCGATCTCAGGTTCTTCATTCCCGGCGTCTTGCGCAATCACTGCACCGGTGCTCAATGTCATGCAGCACACGAGCGCCAGTGCGGTCAAACGGATCATTCTGAGGTATTGAATCACTGTGGGAACTCCATCGAATCTCGTATTGATCGTCCTTCGACGATGCCGGGCTCAGATCGTAGACACGCCGAGCAAAAACACCGACGGATACCCTTTTTTCGGGCCGTTTCAGGGGGTGTCGTGAGTTTGAGTGCCCTCGTCAATGCAAACATTGCATCAAGCATTCAAACTCTTGTTCACTCCTCGACCACTATCCAATCGGTAGCGATTGAGCAGACCGATTCGAATGTCCATAAGTGTCACATATGCATGTGTTTACAGATTATTCGATTCTTTAGAGGCTGCTCAGAAGCCAAAACGACTACACACGATCCAGATTGCTGAGAATGGTGAGAATTCGCTCAGAAGTCGTAGTTCGCAGATGGTGCAATGCGCGGTATTCCGAGAATCGGCTGGAATCAGTCCGCGCCTTGGATGCCGTCGTCGTGTTCGATAACCATCGATGTAGAGCCGTCGAATGCGATGGAGTCGATATGAAGCCGTTCCGGGAGTTTGTTCGGCTTGGGTTCGCTCACGGCTTCTTGAATGGCCTCTTCAATCACGATTGCTGAGGGGTTGTTCAACTCAGTGACCTTTGCTTGGACTTCCTCGACGCTTTTCAGGATCTCACTACTCGAGGAACTGGGATTCCCGCCGAGCTCTTGTCCGACCTGTTCGGCGCGTGTGATGAGCGATCCGAGCCAAACCCCGGCTTGCTCGACGCGTTGGGTTAATCGATGCAGGGATCCATCAAGCAGTGCTTGGAGTTGTGAGGCTTGGTTGGTGAGCTTGTCGGTTGCCTTCTCAGCGAGCTGAGATGAGGAGTTGATCGCTTGCTTGAGATCACCAGACTGTGTGCTCAGGTGTGCGAGCTTGTTGGATGCGAGCTCGAGCTTGTCTTCCAGATCCGGACCGATCTCTCCGATGCGCTTCGCGGCATCACCGATCGGTCCTTGGAGCAAATCCTTGCGTGCTTCCAGTTCGTCGAGTTTGTTTGCTGAATCGAGGAGCCAAACACCGAATTCGCCTTTCACAGCTTCTGCTTGATTGCGGAGCTCATCAAGCTGGCGCAGAACCCGATCAACGCCGGCGATATGAGCTTCGCCGCGCTCGACAAGTGATTCGATCTTCGCGAGTGGGGAGTCCTCGAACTTAGGGTTTTCCGGATCGATCCCGAGTGCTCGCATCGCCTGCTCAGCGGCGGATTTCACTGGTTCTATGGACGATCCGAGCGATTCGACTCGTTGTTCAGTGAGTTCGCTCGCGTCTTGGATGCGCTGTTCGATGTTCGAAGTCGCGTTGTTCGCTTTCTCAACGACTTCGTCAATCTGCGAGTTGAGTTCTTCTTGGAACGAAACCAGTCGGCGATCGATGATCCCGATGGTTTGGCCGCTCTGGTTTTGCGCTTCTTCCATGCGTTGCTCGATGGCGCTCATGCGCATATCAAGATCCGCGTTGAGAGCTTCGAGTCGTTGTGTGCGTTCTTCGGTTTTCTGCATCGCCACGCGTGCACGATGCTCCGCGGCTTGGGCGCGGATTTCTGCGTCGCGGACCATTCCGTCGAGCTGGGATTGAGCTTTGTCCAAAGCGTCGTTCATGAGTGACTCAGCTTGACGGCGCATTGTGTCAGCGCTCGGAAGGATCTCGCGGACCTTGTCGAGTGCTTCGTCCGTGCGATCGACGCGTTCGTCGATCATGCGCAGCATGCGGACACCCGCCTGGAGTCGTTTGTCGAGTGTGGCGCCAGACTCTCCGGCACGACGGATCATTTCTTCGGCGTCTGCGCTGAAGTCTTCGAGCACGCGTCCCTGAGTGGTCGCTTGCGCGATGATGGATTTGAGCATCTCCGAATAGCGAGCGAAGGTCCCCGCGTCCATGACTCTTGGCGAGAGGAACATGTCCTCGTTGCTTGGTAGTGCTGCTTTGGTGACTGAAGCACGAGGTTCGACCAGCGTTTCTGCTTTGGAATCACTGGTTGTGTGGATGGTGGGTGTGTTGGACTGCGGATTCATCGTGATACCTCGTCAATGAAGCTCTGAGCGGGACCGAGCACCCGCGCGTATCTCCCCTTTGTCGGCGATTGCGACCCAATAACTCGAAATTCGGACGCACAGTTCCACTGCTCACAAGTCAATCAACCCAAATCCACACAATGCAGGGCGTACACTCCTGCGTGAGCGAACACGCATCAAATCCGAGCCGAAGAAATGCACGCAAAGACACCGATTTGAGGGATGCTTCGCGTGGCGAACGCCTCCAACGCGTAATGGCAGACGCCGGCGTGGGATCACGGAGGGCATGCGAAGCGCTCATCGAAGCCGGAGAGGTGACTGTCAACGGGCAGATCGTGACTGATCTCCCTGTCTGGGTTGATCCTGAAGAAGATCGGATCGTTGTCCAGAGCAAAGTGCTCCCCAAACCTGAGCGTTTGGTCTATGTGATGCTCAACAAACCACCCAGAACTCTGAGCGCCGCGAAAGATGAGCCGGGATATGACCGGAGAACAGTCACTGAGCTCGTCGATCATCCCGCCGCACCAAGACTCTTCCCGGTCGGACGATTGGACTATGAAACGGTGGGTCTGATCCTGCTCACCAACGACGGCGAGCTCGCGAATCGGCTCACCCATCCACGCTACGGCGTTCCAAAGACCTATCGAGTCAGCGTCAAAGGCAAGCTCGATCAAGACGCGATCCATGAACTCGAACGTGGGATCTTCCTCGCACAGCGCAAAGAAGGTCAAACACACGGCGCCAAGCGCACCGCACATGTGGAGATCCAGCTCATCGCACAGGATCGAGATTCGACTGTGATGGAACTCACTTTACGCGAAGGCCGCAATCGTCAGGTACGCCGCATGCTCGCGGCAGTGGGGTATCCGGTCCGTAAGCTGGAACGCATTGGGATGGGACCAGTCAAGCTCAAGGGGGTCGCTCGTGGCGCATGGCGTGAGTTGACGCGCGATGAGATCAAAGCGCTCCGCAAATCTGCAGCGATCAAAGTTGAGCCGGATCGCAAATCTTCGTCACATCAATCGAAGAATAAGCCGAAAACGCCGTATGTAGATCCGCGTTCGGGACCCTCGAAGGGCGTTCGGCGTCGATCGATCAAGAACGCGATCAATCGGACGACGAATCCTCCCAAGAAGTCTGGAAACAACAGCCGCACAGATCGTCGATCCAGAGACAACTGATTCATGAGCCAGCACGAAACACAGACTGATCCACCTCACAAGCCGACGACTTCTCGTTGGCGCGAGGAGTGGAAACGATTGGTGTCTGTGGGACGATTGGGAATCGGCGGGCTCTATCGCTCTCAGATCCCACGCATGGCGGCGGCGATGTCGTATCGCACGATCTTCTCGATCATTCCCGTCATGGCGATCGGCCTGCTCATCTTTGGTTCATTTGTTTCAGAGGACGAAGTTGATGCCGGTGTGCGCCGCGTGCTCGATTATGCTGGGATCTCTCAGATCTCCGCGGCACCGATCGAGGAGACTCCTTCAGATGGAGTCGAGTCTGATCCTGTGCCAAATCCACAGGACATTCAGCCGACGACACCTGAAAGCTCTGGGGATACCGCTGCGAACATCGAGGAGCTCATATCAAACCTCATCAATCGAGTGAACACTTCGATCCGAAATGTCCCGACAGGCTGGATCGCGCTCGCATCGTTGATCGTGCTGATTTATGCCGCGATGTCGATGCTGATCGAGATCGAGAAATCATTCAACCAGCTTTGTGATGCGCCATCGGGACGACCTTGGTTGCGCCGTCTGATGCTCTACTGGACGATGCTTACCCTCGGCACACTCTTGCTCGCGGCGACCTTCATCGTCGGTGATTCACTCGCGCGATGGATCATCTCCGTATCAGGTGAAGGCGGGACAATCGGAGCGACCTTCGCAAGCTTTGGGGTCTCGGTACTGATATCGACAGTACTGATGCTCGTCGCGTTTCTCACGATCCCGAACACCAAGATCAAGATCCGTCCGGCGCTCGCTGGAGCGTTCATGGCTGCGATCCTCTGGGAACTCGGGAAAGCCGCGTTCACGATGTACCTCCGCAACGCGACTGGATACACCAAGTTCTACGGCTCGCTCGCGATCCTCCCCCTCTTCCTGCTCTGGGTCTATGTCACCTGGGTCATCGTGCTGCTTGGTATGCAAGCAACGCACGCGCTCCAGCATTTCACACGATTGGTCAACAAGGGACTCGCAACTCTCAGCGGCGAGAGTGACAGTTCGATCCCTGTATTGCTCGATCCGCTCATCCTCATCGGAGTGGGTGGGGTCATTGGGAATCGTTTCGTCGATGGACACACCACAACTGCGGATCAACTCGCAACGGATATGGACATTGAGCCGGCGCTCGCTGCGACGCTGCTCAACGCACTCCATAAATCTGACCTGCTGAACCTGATCTCACAAGGTGAGGATGCTGACGCGGCGTACACGCTCGCTCGACCAGCTGAGCAGATTCACCTGACCGAGCTACTGGATGCCGGGGAACATCTCGATCGTTTGCGTGATCAATCACGAGCGAAGATTCCCGGATCGATCTTGGGAGCCGCACGATCAAGTATTGGTCAGCAAACATTATCCGAACTTTTAAACTGAATTGAACTTCCAGATATCCGAACCCCTCATTGATCCGAAGGGTATAGGAAGTCCCCCCTCATCACATTTGAGGCGCCCACACAATGGGTCTTTCTCCAGCGTTTGAAGGGAAAGAAACGGGGTTTGTGCCTAGAATCAAGGTTCCTATGCAAAGAGTACAAATGTCCGAGTTCAGTGTGTATCTTCAGCAGCGCCCCGGCGAACTCGCGGGCGTTCTCGACGCCGCGAAATCAGCGGGAGTCGAGATCACATCGATCTCCACAACCGAATATCAGGACCGCGGGTGCGTGCGTTTGCTCGGCACACCTGAGCAGTCATTACGCCAGATGTGTGAGTCGCTTGTTGACGCAGGGATTGGTCCAATCGTCGAAGCTCCAGTCATTGGAGTCAGCGTCGAGAACCGTCCAGGCATGATCCGCGACCTCTCAGTCCTCATGGCCGACAATCGGATCAATATCCGCTATTGCTACCTGATCCCAGGCGCTGAGGGGATCGATGGTCCTGTCTGTGTGTTCCGCTTTGATGAGCATGATCGAGCGATGGATCTGATCGACAGCGCCGATTGGCCGGCAGCTGAGTTGCACATGGATTCTGACGATTCCGCCGGTGAATCTGCGGCGTAATCTCGGATATCCGGTATCATCTCTGCGTACACTTGATTCATGCAACTCCAGAGGGGGTCTGCATATGAAAGGGCGATCAAGATGGGTCTAGAAGCCGCGATTCCAACTGACAACTTCCTGACGACGCAGCTCCGTCACATCGTCAACTGGGGACGTCGATCCTCGCTTTGGCCGATGCCATTCGCGACCGCGTGCTGCGGGATCGAGCTGATGGCGACCGCGTCCTCACGCTACGACATCGCACGCTTTGGGATGGAACGCATGGCGTTCTCTCCTCGTCAAGCGGACCTGCTGATCGTCGCGGGACGCATCAGTGTCAAGATGCTGCCTGTGCTCCAGCGGATCTACGAGCAGATGACCGAGCCCAAATGGGTGATCTCTATGGGTGCTTGTGCATCAACTGGTGGAGTCTTCGATTCCTACGCGACTGTGCAAGGCGTGGATCAATTCATCCCTGTGGATGTGTATGTACCTGGATGTCCTCCTCGTCCGGAGATGCTCCTCGAAGGGGTCATGGCCATCCAGCGTCACATCGATCAGGAAGGCATCCCTCCGATGAAGGGTGGGAAGCGAGCACCTCTCGGCGTAGTCGTTGAGCCGACGCATGCTGTGAGTCCTCAGCCTGTTGGATTGGACAGCTGATTCATTCACAACTGAACTCAATCAAGAGGACGCATCGAGCGTCCTTTCTTTTTGGTGCATGGAAGTGTTGAGAGTTGAAAAAGAACAAGCCCCCGGCATGATGCCGAGGGCTTGCGTGTGTTCGTTTAGTCGAACCCGCGGTATACGACCGCGTGGGTCAGGCTCGAGAAACAAGTGATACGACTGATGTCGTATCGGTCACCGGATTAGCGGCGACGACGACCAGCAACGAGGCCACCGAGGCCGAGCATTGCGAGTGCCGATGGTGCTGGAACTTCGTACTGGATCTGCAGAGTCGATCCTTGGCCGAAGATGTTGTCGACTTCGTCAGCGACGTCGTCGAAGGACTCGAAGAACTCGATGTTCAGGAGGCCGTCACCAGCGAGGAAGAAGTCAAGGCCGGTGCCGACGAGGTCGAACACGCCGCCTGAGCTGTATGAGCTGGAGCCTGCGAAGTCATCGCCGATACCGACGGTGAGGAACAGGTCGTTGTTGAAGCGCATAACAGCTTCGGAGAGCCATGAAGCGCCGACGGACGAGAGGTTCACGTCCCAGCCGATACCGGTGATGTGGCCACCGCTCATGACGAACTGTGAAACCATTTCGTTGTCTGCATCGAACTCAAGGTCCCAGCTGTTGGTGCCGGAGATGTCGATGGTGAGGGTTGCGAATGCGCCAGCAGGAGCAGCGTCAACCTGTGAGAAGCCAGCAGCTTCAGTGAAGTAAGGCGATGCGGTTGCAGCACCAGCGATTGCAGCGATTGCAGTGATTGCGATCTTCATTTCTAGTCTCTCTTTCGTTTGAATCAAACACACTAGCAAGCACAGGCAACACACCTGTACTTGACACAAACCCGTAGATTGCCCCACGAGGGACGGCACTTCAAGATGTTCGTTGGGTTCTCTCTTCTCTCTGAACACATCGAACGATGTTGTGCGACCCGGCACATTGGGTACTCATCTATGCCGAGCTACAGTTAGAATAAGCAATTCTGGGGGGGTGTCAATAGCCTTGGGAGGAATTCCAAGAGCAATTCTGCGGAATTTCGTAACCTGTTGATAAGCAATGTTTTCCGATTTGAGGACGCACTTTACCTAACTTCACACCAAAGCATTGATTCTGTTCTATTTTTAGGGATTTGACCTCAGTGACTTGATTCTGTGATCCGGATTCGAACTGCTCAATCGATGAACAAAAAAACAGCACAGTTTCAAGATTATCAGCCACCGATTAAGGGAGATTTGATCAATCAGCGTGTCAGCTGAATCATGATATCTGGACAGAAAAAAACTCGCAGAGCGAGTTTCAAGTTATTTTTGGATTGTGGATTCTGCTTACTTGCAGTTCACTTTGCGACCGATGCGACGGCGGCCGTTGATGATCTTGCGGCCGCTCTTGGTCTTCATGCGAGCGCGGAAACCGACCGTACGGCGGCGTTTGATGTTGCTGACTCGTCTTGGGTAGTGCATTGCCATGGTCAAATCTCCATTCGTCTCGTCATCATCCAGCGCAATGCTAAACGATTCGGGCTCCGACTGTAGACCCCGATCCCTTGCAGGTCTAGTCCATGCAGATTCCGATCGTCAGATTCTCAAGTCTTGACTGGAATTCGACTTGCAAATCGCCCATACTACAGAAAGTACAACCGCTCGCTGCGAAACTGCGGGTGCTCGTTCGTCGTCTGCGTGTAGAAAGACACTCGAGACGCTGAGCGAGTGATCGTTGCAACGCATCAGCGAGCAAATACGATCGGTTTTTGTACGGATTGTCCGTGTGGATGTGCCGTAGCCGATCTACATGCGGAGCGATCACATGCTGAATCAGGATCAACTCGATCAAGCGCAGTCCATTCTTCAACATCAGTTCTCTGACCTCGATTTGCTTCAACGAGCGTTTATCCATGCATCGGTCACAGAAACTCGACTCAAGTCCAACGAGAGACTCGAGTTCCTTGGGGACGCGATACTTGGGATGTTCGTCTGCGAGCGAATCTTCAGACGCTACCCAACCTATCTCGAAGGTGAGATGACCAAAATCAAGTCCCACGCTGTGTCTCGCGCCGCGTGCGCCGAGCTCGCGATTGATGTGGGGCTCGATCAACTCATCCGAGTTGGGAAAGGCATGCAGAGTCAACCAACGCTGCCGTCTTCACTCGCAGCAGCGGTCACCGAATCTGTGATCGCGGCGCTGTACCTCGACGGCGGGATGGAAGCGGTTCAGCGTTTCCTTGAGCCACTCATCGATCCGATGATCGAATCCGCAGTGAACTCTGGACATCAGCACAACTTCAAAAGCGTGCTCCAGCAGCATGTCCAGCGGCAGCACGGTGTGTCTCCTTCGTATCACATCATCGAAGAGTCCGGACCAGATCACGCGAAGTCATTCAAGATCGGCGTCGAAGTCCGAGGCGAGACATTCCAGCCGAGTTGGGGGCAGTCGAAGAAGCAAGCGGAGCAGGAAGCCGCGAAAAACGCGCTGCATGAGATGGGGGTCGTCGAGATCTGCGACGAGGGGAATGTCCACATGGCGGAGTAATTCAGCGTCGTCTGCGTGACGCGCCGATCCCAGCGAATCCGAGCAGCGCCAAGCTCCCAGGCGCTGGGTACGCGAACTTCACCTGGATTGTTGATCCGGCGGCAAAGTACGCGTCAACCTCATCTGCGACATCATCGAACGACTCAAAGAACTCGATATCGAGGAAGCCGTCTGGGCTGTAGAAGAAATCCAAACCCTCTCCAATTAGATCTACCATCCCGCCGGAGCTGAAGCTCGCGGTGCCTGCGAAGTCATTCCCGATTCCCGGCGTGAGGAACAGTTCGTCCTCGAATCCGATCACCGCTTCGGACAACCACGAAGCGCCGACGGTGACAATGGTGACATCCCAGCTGACCCCGATGACCCAGTTGAACATCGGCTGATAAACCGCTAGATGTTCGTTGCTGTCATCACCTTGTAGATCCCAGCTATTGATCCCTGAAAGATCAAGGGTGATGGTCGGGCCAAAACTACCTTGCGGGTCATATTGCATGCCCTCATGGCCGTTGATTGAGGTGAGGTACGGCGATGCGTGTGCGATGCCGCTGATTGCGGCGAGTGCGATGATTGGGAGTTTCATGGTCCACCTTTGATTGGATTGATGCGGATCAGTGCAATGTTATGAATCAATCCAATATACACCCAAACGAGTCCGATACCATCGAAATGACTCATTTGTTCAGGGGCACAAGATCCACAAAGATTGGCAAGTGATCCGTCGCTCGTGAATCCTCGCGCTCTAGACCGGCATCGTTCAGCACCTCGTCGCTCAAACGCTCTGTATCTAAGCTCCAAGAGTTGATCGGAGTCCAAGCTCGATCATCGACGAGGATCCAATCCAATCTACCAGGCGTGAAAGAACTCTTCGGATCGACCCAGGTCAGCATCGACTGTGTTCCCAAGCAGGTCGTCGGAACTGGGACAAGGTCTTGCCCATCGCGTCCGATGCCTTCCGACATGACTTCGAGCGGGATTCGGGAACCAACAAGATTGAAGTCGCCTCCGATGACGACGCCGGCTTCAGGGTATTTATTACGGAGCCCAAGGACGAGATCATGGATCTGTCCGGCTTGCATGATGCGTTTGTGATCTTCTTCTGAGTCTGCTCCGCCGCAGCATTTGAGGTGCAGCGATATCAGTATGAGCTGCTCATCATGCGCTTCGACGACCGCAGCAATGACTCGGCTTGGACGATCCCCTCGGTGCTCAACAACTGGTTTCGATATGGTCTCGACGACATCCAGCTTTGTTGCAATTGCGACTCCGCTGCCATCATCGGTCATGATGAGTGACCAATCCTTGCCATGATGTTCATCTATCCAGGCGCGAACATCTTCTTTAGTGGTCTTGAACCATTCCTGATACAGCACGACATCCGGGTTGTTCGCGTTGATAACTCTCGCGAAGGGTTCTGGATCACGGAGTGGTGACGAGTACAGCACATTGGCGCTCATGACGCGCACGCCGTCTTTGGGAGGATTCGAGATGGGTGTATTGATCGGTTTGCTCGGGGCGTAGTTCGGGAGTGTGTCTGTGAACGATTGTGTTCTGAGCACTTCTCCACCGATCGCTCGATGCTCTACAACAACGTTGATTGGGCCATCATGTTGAAGGATCGGCAAGCGTGATCGATCGAGACGAGCTTCGTACCTTGGTGAGTTATGCGTCGGAAGGAAGTAGAACCCTACATCCGCATGGCTGATGCGTTGTGTGGTATCTGCTGTATGCATTCTCGTATTGGATCCGCCTCGCAATGTTCCGAAATCTCGTCCCTCTGGAGAAATGTCAATCGTCAGGTCTACCCCTTGCGACAGCATCATTGGTTGCCCCGATGCTTGATCCTTGGTGTGGTACATCTGGCGCATTCCTGTCGTCGAGTCGGCGTCCGCGTCAATGCGAATCCGTGTCGTGAAGTCCGCGGCTTGGATCGCTTGGGAATCATCAAACGACTCGAAACAGATGAACACCTCGTCGTTGTCAGCGCGGATCCCAGTCTGTCCATACCAATCATCGAGCTCGCCGTCGAGGATGATCTGAGCGGGTGGTGGTGAAGAAGGCGCCTGAGAAACTGCAGGCTCATCGGAGGCCAACTGCGTGGAGGCGCATCCGCTGAGCAAGAGCAGCATCGATATAGAGAGTTTCGTGATCATGTGCCGAGCATAGGTTCTCAGTGCTTTCTACCCAAGCGGGAAATCCACCATTCGGACGATTTGATCTGATTTGAGTGTCCAGAAACTTGTTCCAATCTCGGAATACTCTCAGAACTGTGTCCATTTACCTATGCTCATCGAACATCACCCCCAACACACGCACGCCGCGAGCACGCGGACAACCATAAGAGGAGGCACTCCAATGAAAAAAGCACACACACTCATCGCATCGACCATCGGTCTCGCTGCCATCGGCGCTGGACTTGCTGGATTTACATCCAGCGCCAACGAAGCAAGCAACGCGATCTTAGAGACTTCAGTCGAATCGGTTGCTGCCGAGTCTTACGCTGTGGACGCGGTCCACTCGACCGTCCTCTTCAAGATCCGTCACGGCGGAGTGAGCAACTTCTACGGCCGATTCAACAAACTCAATGGAACCATCGAGTTCGACAAGAGCGATGTCGCCAGTTCCTCGATGAGCTTCACCATCCCCGCGTCCTCAGTAGATACCAACAACAAAGATCGCGATGATCATGTCAAGAACGCGGAGTTCTTCAACGCGCGTCAGTATCCTGAGATCAGCTTTGAATCCACATCAATCTCGGAGGTCTCCGACGGTGTCTATGCATTGAGCGGCAATCTCTCGTTCCATGGAGAGACCAAAGAAATCACCGCTGACCTGACCGAAGTCCGCACCGGAACCTTTAGAGGTAAGCCGGTCATGGGATTTGAAGCGAGCTTCTCAATTAAACGATCCGACTACGGCATCACCAAGTACCTCGCTGAGGACCTCTCGGACAATGGCCCGCTTGGGAACACTGTTGAGATCACAGTCGCGATCGAAGCCGTGAAGCAATAAGTACTTTGATAGAGAGGGGATTGCATGGATCCGCAAGTCCAGCAACAACTCATGATCTGGGGGGGCGCGTTCCCCGCGGGTCTCGCGATCGTTACGCTCCTGATCTTCTGGTCGATCCACACACGCAAAGCGATGTGGAGCGACGGTGACGAGCACGACGAGCAAGCATCCGCCAAGCCTACAAAGCCGGGACCGGTGTGGTTGATGCCGCTGTTGATTGCAACTGGATTCATCGGAGCCGTGAGTGCCCAGTTCCCCTCGTTTGAGATCTGGCCGAGCGATAACACATACCGGCTCCCCCACGCGATGGTGCTGATCGCACTCGTCGGACTGCTCGAAGCTCTGCTCAAACCAGGTGCGCTCGTGATGTTCATCGCGCGAACACTCGCGTATGGAGGCGTTTTCTGCATCCTCGCGTCAGGATACCGAGGCAACGACATCGTCTTTGCGAGCGACTGGGTCTACTTCGGATGGATGGGGATCGCGGCGATCACCCCAGCGCTGCTCGCGATGATCCACGAGCAGAACTCCAAAGACATCCCAGGATGGATCGACGCGGGATGCTGGATGCTCGTGCTCGGCGGCATGATGCCCACGCTCTTCTTCAACGGCAGCGCCACCGGTTCAACTATCCTCCCAGGCGTGCTCGCGGTGCTTGGTCCCGCGGCCGTGGTGGGATTGATCTGCAAACCACTCAAGCTCAGCCGCGGAGGGATCACCACGCTGGTGGGTGTCGTGCTGATCGTCACTATCGGATCGAGCGTGCATTCTGAGCTTCGCTCCTTGCAAGCGGTGCTGCTGCTGATCGCCGCTGTTGCTACGGGGCTGATCCGCAATGAGGGCTCGTCCACATTCCGCTACATCCTCGTCCGCGCCGGGATCGCGGCGGTGCTGTTGGCAGGAGCCGCGGCTCTGGCGCATCATGAGTACCAGCAGCTCAACAGCGATTCAGAGAGTAGTGGTTATGACTCGTACCTAGACTACGACTCAGATTCAGACGGCTGATACACTCTTGCGTGCAAGAGCTCAACCCACCAATCCCCATCATGCTTGGCAATCGCGTGCTGCTCCGATTTCCGGCGACTACAGACCGCGACGAGTTCGTCGCGCTGCGAAGAGCATCGCGCGAGCATCTGGAACGCTGGGAACCGATCCCGCCTTCTGGATTGGATCTGTACAGCAATGAAGCGTTCGATCGCGAGCTCGAGACACACAACACCCCTGAGTCCCAGCGCTGGTTGGTGTGCATGAAAGACTCCGGCGCGATCGCGGGACGCATCGCTCTGGGAAACATCGAGCGCGGCCCATTCCAGAACGGACGCTTCGGGTATTGGATCGGGAGTGCGTTCGCGGGTCAGGGGTTGATGAGCGAGGCGCTGTCGCTTGCGGTGGCGCATGCGTTTGCTTCAGTGGAGAGCGGGGGGCTGGGTTTGCATCGCGTGTGTGCCAACATCATGCCGAGCAATGGTGCGTCGCGGAGGGTACTGGAGAAGGTGGGGTTCGTGAAGGAGGGGTACTCGGAGAAGTACCTGCAGATTCAGGGGGTGTGGGAAGATCATGAGCGGTGGGCGATGACGATGGATCAACATCTTGGGAGATAAAAGAAGAAAAAACTCGACAGCGGTAGATGAAGCAAGATGACTCCGCACAAAATCAGAGCGGTTAAGTATAGATGATTGTTGAGTATCCTGATTCGTGGTTTGTATCGAATCCGCACATGAACCAACGAGATCAGAATGTTGATCACGACCAGTACACAGATCCAGTTACTGATCAGGTTGAAGTCAATGATCTTGCGTTTAACGATCGGATCACACCCGTATTGGTGTTGAAAATATTGTGAAACTATGAGTAATCCGATCCAATAGAAGCATGCTCGGATACACACCCATATTGCCGCGGCTTCAGACCGCTTTGCGATGAGGATATCTGCTGGGTTGCATCCGCATTCTGGACAGCTCTCTGGCTTATCAAGTCCACGCAAGTCGTACCCACAACTTTTGCAAGTTGTCGTCATGTCTAATTATTCGCAAAGGAGCGGAATCGGTTGATATCACTCCCACTCAATCGTCGCCGGCGGTTTGCTTGAGATGTCGTAGACCACGCGATTCACGCCTCGGACTTCGTTGATGATGCGAGTTGAGATGCGTGCGAGGACATCGAACGGGATCCGCGCCCAGTCCGCTGTCATGAAGTCCTGTGTTTCCACGGCCCTGAGCGCGATCACACGCTCGTAGGTTCGGCCGTCACCCATCACCCCGACCGATTGGATCGGGAGGAGCACCGCGAAGACCTGGCTGGTTTTGCGGTAGAGTCCCGCCGCGACGATTTCTTCGAGCAGGATCTCGTCGGCGTTGCGGACGATGTCGAGTTTCTCTTCTGTAATATCCCCAAGCACACGCACCGCGAGTCCGGGACCTGGGAACGGATGGCGCCAGACGATCGCATCGGGAACACCAAGCACAGTTCCGAGCGCTCGGACCTCGTCCTTAAACAGCTCGCGGACGGGTTCGATGAGGTCGAACCCGAGTTCTTCTGGGAGTCCGCCGACATTGTGATGCAGCTTGATGTTGGCGCTGTTCCCGGAGTGGCCGTGTCCCGATTCGATGACATCGGGATAGAGCGTCCCCTGTGCGAGAAAGACCGCATCCTCAATATCATGCGCGGCTTCCTTGAACACCTCAATAAACCGATGCCCGATCCGACGACGCTTCTCCTGCGGATCAGTCACGCCCGCGAGATCGTCAAGGAAGTCTTTCGAAGCATCCGCGACACGCAGGTCGATGTTGAAGTGGTCTTTAAACGTATGCTCGACGAGGTCGCGTTCCTTCTTGCGGAGCAGGCCGTTGTCTACGAACACGCAGGTGAGCTGATCCCCGATCGCTTTGTGCAAGAGCGCCGCGACGACGGAGGAATCAACACCTCCGGACAAACCACAGATCACGCGTTTGTCGCCGACGAGTGCTTTGATTTTCTCGGCTTGTTCGTTCGCAAAGTCCGCCATTTTCCAGAGTCCGGAGCATTCGCAGATTTCATAGAGGAAGTTGCGGAAGATGTCGGGGCCGTGGAGCGTGTGCGTGACCTCGGGATGGAACTGCACACCTCGGAAGTTGTGCTTGGGATTGGTCGATCGGACCGCGGCACATTTGCAGGTGTCCGTCGAAGCGGTCGCTTCGAGTTCAGCGGCGGCGAGGTCGGTGATCTGATCGCCGTGGGACATCCAGACTTGTGTGGATTCCGGGATCGCGTCAAAGAGTCCTTTGCCGGTCTGCGAGATGTTGAGCATCGCGCGTCCGAACTCGCGATGGTCTTCCTGCGTGAGCGTCGCGCCAAGCAGATGACATCCGAGCTGCATGCCGTAGCAGATGCCGAGGACCGGGATGCCCATCTCGAGGATCGCCGGATCCATCGTCGGCGCGCCCTCTGCAGAGACTGATGCGGGACCTCCGGAGAGGATGATCCCTTTGGGGTTCATTGCTCTGAGTTCTTCAGCCGTGATGGTGGGGGCGACGAGTACGGAGAAGACTCCGGCATCGCGCACGCGCCGGCAGATGAGCTGAGCCGTCTGTCCACCAAAGTCGAGGACTGGGACGGTTTCATCGTGGATGTGATGCGTGTGCGGCGAGGTCATCTCAAGACTCCCATCGATGGACCCCTCGTCTAGAGGAGTCTAGATCGTTATTTATCGTCCGATAATGCACAAAATCCGCTCTGTGGAGAGCTAGGAGGCAGTGTAGGCACGCACTCGATCATGTGATGAACAAGATTCTGCGTGGATTGGGAGAGTGCAACTGCTCTTGACAATGCGACGAATAGACCTTCTGGGTCCATTGGGAGGGGTTTGCATAGCATTGCCGCATGTTGAGATATGATCGAGGGTTGCACAACCTCGCAATAATTGGAACACTTCCTGTGGTACTGCTGGTATTGGGAGGATGTCCGAATCCGCAAGTTGGGTTCGATTCTCCCGCTCCGTCCAAGCGTTTGGACGCGATCGCACAGTCTTCACAGGAGAACGATCCCGAATCACTGGTCAAACTCGTCGAAAAGCTCGGATCGACAGATCCTGCTGAACGGATGCTCGCGATTCGAGCACTTGAGAAACGCGAGGGAACTACTCTCGGATACAACCATTCCGCTCCGAAGTGGGAGCGATTGGAAGCCATCGAACGCTGGAACGAGCGGATCGGTTTATCGGGCAGTGGTGACGATCATGAGGATTCGCCGATGAATCAAGAGTCAGATTCTGACGCAGAGAGCGCCCAAGCGGACAACCAGGACGGTTGATTCCCAAACAACTCGACGCCGCCGGAGGCACACACGCGTCTGAGTCAAATCAAGGGATCACTCCTTGAGTGTACAAACACAGCTTGAAACGCCTATGAAAAAAGCCGCACAACATACCGAAGCCAAACCAATCAAGATCGAGCTCGTTTCTGATCCGATGTACCTCTGCGGAGCACGCGAGCTCGTGTCCTGCATCGCGCATCGAGTCGGATTCGGAGACATGGAATGCTCCAAGATCGCGCTGGCGCTCGATGAAGCGATGTGCAATGTCATTCGTCACGGCTACAACAAAGAGACCAATCGTCCGATCTGGTTGACGATCTATCCACAGAAACCAGACGCCGACAGCTTCGGAGGGATCGAGATCATCATCGAAGACGAAGCGAAGCAGATCAATCCCGACAACATCGTTGGACGCGATCTAGAGGACATCCGTCCAGGTGGATTGGGTGTGCACATCATGCGCGAGGTCATGGACGAGGTCGTCTTTGAGAAGCGAGAATCCAAGGGAATGAGACTTCGCATGAGCAAATCAGCGCCTCGACCTGAGGAAGCCCCTCGGATTGGACAAAGATCGTCATCCCAAACGCAAGCCCAACGCCAAGTTTCCTGATACCATCCCTTCAACTCCTCTATCCATCGGGTCACGATTGTGGTGCTGATCCGAGGATGACCTGTGTCGTCAATGGATCGAGCAGCGAAGGGACATGATGGCAGCTTCAGACAATGACTTTGTTCGAATTGAGAACCCCGCCGATGGCGTGACTGTGCTGGTCCCCACGGCGGATATTGATATGAGCCGATCCCCAGATCTGCGCAGCTCGATCAAAGGGGAGCTCAAGCCTGGACTCGAACGGATGATCATCGATCTTTCCGAGGTCCAGTACATGGACTCATCGGGACTCGCGACTCTTGTGGAAGCGATGCGTCTTGCGAAGAAGGAAGCTGTGGGTCTGCACCTCGCGTCGATGACGGACAAAGTCCGCGCGATCTTCGAGATCGCTCGTCTTGATGCGTTCTTCAGCATCAAGGACACTCGTCAGGATGCGCTCGATGCGTGATGATCCACGCGTGGATCGGTACCCGACTGGACAAACCGGCTTGGCCATGCGACACTACAAGTCATGAGCGATCAGACCAACGAGTCTCAATCCAAATTGCCGCTCCCAGTTCTCGTGGTGCTGTATCCCATTGCGATCATCGGTCGTCGCACACTCGGTATCCTCTCGCATACCGGCGAAGTCTTCTACATGCTCTGGAACGCGACTCAGTGGTTGTGGCGCGGATTGACTGATCGCAAATACCGACTCGGAAAGAGCGCGATCGTGTCACAGGTCGTTCGTATTGGTGTGCGTTCGATTTTCATCGTGGTCATTGTTTCAGGAGCTGTGGGATTGATCCTGGCGCTCCAGCTCGCGCCGCCTCTGGAAGAGTTTGGATCCAAGGACAAGGTCGCCAATATCATCGCTGTTGCGGTGCTCCGTGAGTTGGGACCACTGATCGGTGCGATTGTGCTCACGGGATTTGCTGGAGCATCCATCGCGGCTGAGATCGGCACGATGGTGGTCTCCGAAGAGATCGAAGCACTCGAGGCGCACGCACTCAATCCAGTCCGATTCTTGGTTGTCCCACGCGTGCTCGCTTCCACGGTCTCAATGACCACACTTGGTGTGATGTCGAGCTTCGCGGCGATCATCTCTGCAATGGCAATCTCGATCATTGTGCTTGATATCCCATACGAAACCTACATGGACAACATGCTCCGACAAGCGAAGATGGTCGACTTCTGGACCGGCGTCGCGAAAGGCGGCGTCTTCGGGACCCTCATCGGGATCATCGCGTGCACCAACGGCTTGCGCGTTACCGGCGGAGCCGCGGGCGTCGGTCGTGCGACCACTTACACCGTCGTCGAATGTATCGTCGCGATCGTCGTTGCTGACCTCGTGTTCACCGCGATCTTCTTCGCTCTCGAGCTGTTCTAAGGCGAGCTTCTTACAAGCGGTATCCAACGGGCTGCTCGATCAACGCGTACAACTCGCGGAGCACGGTCATCGACAAGAATCCCAAAGCGCTGAGTCCGGTCATCAGCAGCGCTTCTTGGATATGTCCCGCGCCCATCAACCAACCCACGCCGTAGAGGGTTGGCCAGATCGCGCCGTATCGTGTGATGCGTTCATCGAGTTGTGGGCCTTTGCCGTGGCGCTTGGTTCTGCGGATGATAAAGAGCACAAAGAGCACGACAAACACACTTGGATAGATCATCGCACTCATCGGCACGCCGTCGGGCCAGAGCCCTCCGGTCCACTGTCGATCCCACGCGAGCATCAGGAGCAGGAGCGAGCAAAGCAACCAACCGCTGATCGCAAAGATCGCGGCACGGCGCGAGATCGGAGGTGATCGTCTTCCCAGATACTGCGCCAGCGCGAGTACCGCCATCGCGTGGGTCATCACGAGCCAGACCGGGATCAGGAATCGGATCCAGACATTTGGGACCATCATGTGTCCGGCATAGATCACGCTCAGCAGCACCATCCCCATTCCGGGAACGAACTTGCCGAGCGCGTTGAAGATCAGGATCGCGACGGCGAGGACAATCGTGAGCAAAATCGCGCCGGTCCCAAAGAATGTGGCACCGAGAATCGCGAGCATCAGGGATCCCGCGACAGCACATACGGCGAGTTCGAGGGATGCGGATCCATCCACGATCGGATGTCCAGGTGATCCCAACGCCCGGTCCTTGTGCAGATCCAGCAGATCGTTGAGTGCCGCCCCAAATGCGTAGAGACCCAATCCGACGAGCAAACCTCCGATCAATGCCGCCCAGAGGGGCTCGTCGTTCAGATACGCCGGGAGATGCTCGCCTTGTGTCGTTCTCGACCAGAGGATCACGAACCAGAGATTCCCGACGGCTCCGAATCCCGTCGTCACACGCGTGAGCTTGAGCATCGGAGCGGCTTTGCGAACCCAGTGGAGCATGACAGATCGTAGCAAATCCATCGTCGAGCGGGTCTACGATCTCTCTCTATGTCTGATCTCGACTCTTTGACATCCAGCAAGCCGGGAGCAAGCGCCATTGTGGTCTCCCGCTACAACGACTCGATCACCTCAGTGATGCTCGATGGAGCGATCCAAGCGTACCTCGGCGCCGGAGGAGACGAGGATCAGCTCGCGATCCTCGAAGCGCCTGGCGCGTACGAACTGATCGCTGTCGCGAATGCCGCGGCGAGCAGCGGGATGTACGCATCCGTCGTCTGTCTCGGATGTGTGATCCGAGGTGAGACCACGCACGACCAGCACATCGCCAATGCCGTTGCTGTGGGACTGGGAGAGATCTCGATCAAGACCAATGTCCCAGTCGCGTTTGGAGTGCTCACGACCAATACGATCGAGCAAGCACGCGAACGAGCAGGGGGGAGCGTTGGGAACAAGGGCGCCGAAGCAATGAACGCCGTGCTCGCGGCATCTGGAGCGATCCGAGTGATTGAGCACGCAACGAAGAACAACACGCCGGGAGTTCGTTTCACTCCAGGATTTGATGTACCTGACAAAGCCGCACGCGCCGGCGGGGGTTCGTGAAGTATGGGATCACCCAGAGATATCCGCAGACTGGCGCTCATGGCGCTCTATCAGCTCGATGCACGCGCCGGCGATGACACCGAGCTCATCCGCAGCTCGCTCGATGACACGGACAGCTTCCTGAGCGAGGGATTGGAGTTCGCGGATCCTTCATCCAAGCTCAGCGAGCGTGATCGGGATCATGCATTCGAGATCGCGAGCGGCGCGTTTGCAAATATCGAAGCCGCGGACGCGGAATTGAATGAGTTATCGACGGAATGGGCCGTGCACCGGATGCCCGCGATGGATCGTGCGATTCTGAGGCTGGCGCACTTCGAAATGACCAAAGTCGAAGATCCCAAACCCAAAGCGAGTGTGAACGAAGCCGTCGAGCTCGCGAAGCAGTTCTCCACCGCGGATTCGCCGGGATTCGTCAACGGACTGCTCGATAAGGTCCTCAAGCGTGTGCTCGCTCAAGCGGATCACGCTGCAGGTTCTGCGGAGATTTAACGATGGCGATCTTCCGCAAAGCGATCGACAAACTCAAAGCCGGACTCGGGAAAACCCGCGAATCATTCGTGTCTTCGCTGAGATCGATGCTCTCTGGGAAGCAGCTCGACGACGACCTGATCCGCGAGATCGAAAAACGACTGATCGAGTCCGATGTCGGCGTCAAGGCGACCAAGATCCTCATCGATGGCATCAAAGCCGACTACAAAGCGGGAACACTCACCAAAGGTGAGGATGTCATCGAGTATCTCAAAACAGAACTCAAAGCGATGTGGCCGGCGCAGGATCGCTCGCTCAACATCAGCGACACCAAACCCACTGTGATCCTCATGACCGGCGTCAACGGCGTCGGAAAGACCACCTCAATCTCCAAACTCTGCAAGCAGCTCAAAGACGAGGGGAACACCGTGCTGCTCGGTGCGTGCGATACCTTCCGCGCCGGCGCTGTTCGTCAGCTGGAGATCTGGGGGGAGCGATTGGGAGTCGAGGTCGTCAAGGGACAGCAGGGAGGGGATCCCGCTGCCGTCGCGTTCGATGCGTGCAGCGCTGCAAAAGCACGAGGAGTCGATGTGCTGATCATCGACACCGCCGGTCGGCTCCAGACGCAGAGCGGACTCATGGATCAGCTCAGCAAAATCCGCAGAGTGATCGATAAACAAATCCCAGGCGGTCCGCACGAGACATTGCTCGTGCTCGATTCAACGAGTGGTCAGAACGCGCTACGACAAGCCGAGGAGTTTAATGCTGCGGCTGGGGTGACCGGGATCTTCCTGAGCAAGCTCGACGGCACCGCTCGCGGCGGGATCGTAGTCGCGATTAAGGAAGCGACCAATATCCCAGTGAAGTTCGTGGGATTGGGGGAGACTCCGGACGATGTGGAGCCGTTTGATCCAGAGCAGTTCGTTGAAGCGATGTTTGAGCAGGATTGAGCATCGTCATTTGGGTCCGATAACACGGTCAGATTTGTGGAACCATCGATTTCGCCTCAAAGAGCAGGAATCATGGGGGTTTTCACTAGACGCTTCACCTCATATTGTCTATTCTTCGTCTCTGAGCAGCGATGAGTGTTTACTGCTCTGAGAGAGAAACCAAGTTCTTTGGAGAGAGAGAATTATGAAAACTGCACTGATCGGCGCGGCGCTGTCCGCCGCTACGCTGTCGGCCTCGGCAGGTGGTCTGGTCATCGCTGAGTACCAACTCGGTGATCACCCAAACGGGAATCTGAACCCACCGCCATACGGGCTTCGTCTTGACAACATCCTCGGCGCTGGCGCATCGACGCTGAGCATTGGTCATCACAATGACACTGTGCTCACCGTGTACGATGACAATGGCACCCTCAGCATCAACATCAGCGGCACGCTCTACGGCGGTCAGCTCGATGGCATGGGGGGCTATGTCTCCGCAGCAAGCTACGCTGTCGATTTCACTTACTCCGCAAGCGTTGTTGCTTCCGGCGGTGGCTGGATTGTCAACGGCATCGATGCTGCAAACTCCGGCACTCTGACCAATCTCGATGACAACTCAGTCATCACCCTGTACACCACAGGCACTCCTGAAACATTCCTGTTCCTTCCAGACGATCACCGTCTGGACACAGACGCGAATGATTGGGTCGGCCGTGGCTGGATCACAGATCAAACCGATGGCTCCGATCCACTCGGCGGCACTCGTGACTGGCTCTTTACTGCGACTGAAATCCCAGCTCCAGGTGCACTCGCACTCTTCGGACTCGGCGGAATTGTCGCAGGACGCCGTCGCCGCTGATCAAATCTTCGTTGATTCTCAACTTCTGAACCCCGCTCGATTTGTTCGAGCGGGGTTTTTAAGTCCATTTACTGCATCAGGTTATCGGAACTCTTCAAAATATTGCTGTTTTGCAAACAAAATCGTGAAATTTGGGTTTTTCATCTAGAAATAAGCCGCATGTCCAAGTAAATTAGACACTTAGGACTCAGTGCGGGTCCGATTTGTGAAAACCAGTTCATTGGGAGAGAGAACAATGAAATACGCAATGGCAATCGTGGCGCTGTCCGGGGCAGTGATGAGCGCTTCTGCAGGTGGACTGACCATTGGTCAGTACCTCCTCGACGATCACCCAGGAGGCGGCGAAAACCCACCTCCTTACGGGCTTCGTCTCGACGGTATCGTCGCTCCAGGTGCTGCTACCCTCAGCTTGGGACATCACGGCGACACAATCTTGACTGTAACTGATGATGGTGGAACACTTTCCATCAACATCAACGGCACGCTTCACGGCGGAGCTCTTGATGGAATGGGCGGATACACCTCTACAGCAGATTACGCAATCGACATGACCTATGTCATCGGCGTCAGTGACGAAGGTAACGGCTGGGCAGTCAATGGATTCAGCGCATCCAACAGCGGAACGCTGACCAACCTTGACACCATGGCTGTGATTGATCTTTACGGCAAGGACAACGCGGCTGGACTCGTCTTCGCGTTCCTCGCTGATGGTCACCGTCTCGACAACGACGACGACTCATGGGTCGGCCGTGGCTGGATCACCGACCAGTCTGACGGAACTGATCCGCACAGCGGATACCGCGATTGGCTGTTCACCGCGACGAAGGTCCCAGCACCAGGTGCTTTCGCACTGCTCGGACTCGGCGGACTCTGCTCAGCACGCCGTCGCCGTTAAGATTTCGCTTTCCCGAAATACAGAGAACCCCGTTCAGCGTGTCTGGACGGGGTTTTTTCTTCGATAGAATGGGCTAATTCTGATGAAACGGAAAATTGCAAACGAATATAGGGATTTTTATGTAGACAGAATCTCGAACTTCCAATAATATCGTTTCAGCAATCGTTTTACGGTTGCAGGGGATTGATGAGAACCTCTGTATTGGGAGAGAACAAATGAGAAATACATGCATTGGGATTGCGCTCTCTGCCGCAACGCTTTCGGCGTCTGCAGGTGGACTGACAATCGCGGAGTACCAGCTGAGTGATCACCCAGCTGGTGGAGAAAACCCACCGCCTTACGGGCTTCGTCTCGACGGGATCCTTGGCGCTGGCGTTCACACACTGAGCATCGACTTCCATGATGACACTGTGCTGACTGTGACCGACAACGGCGGGACGCTCGAAATCAATATTTCGGGAACCCTCTACGGCGGTGAAGTCGACGGCATGGGCGGATATGTCAGTGCTGAAAGCTACGCTGCAGATTTCAACTATGTTGTCAATGTCACTGATGTTGGAAACGGCTGGGAAGTCAACGGCTTCAGCGCTTCCAACGGCGGCACGCTGACCAATCTCAACACCATGGCTGTGACTGAGGTCTACGGCATGACTGATGGGAATGGTCTTGTGCTCGCGTTCCTCGAAGACGGATACCGTCTCGATAACGACACAACCACATGGGTTGGCCGAGGTTGGGTCACTGACCAGCCAGATGGCACCGATCCACACGCTGGATTCAGAGACTGGCTCTTCACTGGTGAGCTGATCCCAGCACCAAGCAGCTTTGCGCTGTTCGGTCTCGGCGGACTGGTTGCTTCGCGTCGTCGCCGCTGAACCAGAACTGAGCGATTCGCTCAATGTTCAACGTGAACATCTCAAGCACTCCCGATTTTCGGGAGTGCTTGTTATTTATAGATCGCTCAACCACGACCAGTACGAGGGAGATTGCTGCGATGCCGGATCATGAACGCATGAAGTGATGGTGTTGTATTGTGCGCGCGATTCAATCTCTGTTTCTGTGAGCGGTGGATCCATGATGTTGACGATCAACAGCTGAATGAGGTCTTTTTGTTGGTGATCAGCCGTGACGAGCGATTCAGTTAAGTATGGGAGCAGCTCAGGTCCCATTCCACCCAACGCAAAGACTGCGAACTTTGCATCTTCTGGGATGTCGTTGTCTCTCAAGTGCGGCAGCAGAATCTGACTGATACGCTCAACACGCTTATGGATTCCTGCTCGAGCGAGAATATACGCCGCGAGGAACTGTTGTTGAGCATCTTCGGATTCGAGAGCATCCACAAGCAGGTGCTTCCATTCTCGAGCGATCGGGATCAGCTTTCCAACACCAAATGATGCATTGAAATAGACCAAACCACGATGGCGCTCTGTGTCGAACGGCGTTGTGTCGTCCCTCAATCCCTCGATCGTGATCCGGATTAGATCCTCCGTTACGACGAAACGAGGGTCGGCTTCGATGGTCTCCCATTTCCCGCCGGTCCAGAGATGCCCTTCTGCGGGGTTCTGGATAAACACTCGCTGTGCTTGAGAGAAGTTCCAGATGATCTGACACACAACTTGTCGGACTTGCCAATCTTCATGATTCAGCGCGTTGTAGAGGTGTTTGGGCTCTAGGTCGGGATGGGTAAGCAAAGCGCCCTGCGCGCTGATCAGATTCCCACGAATGTCATCGTCACGAAACTGCTCGATGAGCTCTTGGGGGGTATACGAGTGGTCGTACTCGATCGTGTTGTTGATCGGTGTCACTGGTTGAACTTCATGCGGATGCGCGATCGCGTAGTGAGTCAGGATCATCGGCAGGATGCAGCAGAACCGTCTCAAGTCGTCGATCATACTGACTAGTTCGGCGTTTGAGTCGGTGTTCATCCAACTGCTCCGTCGCTTCGGATTAACCATCGCCACGAGCTTCATACTCAGATTCGAAATCCTCAGCAAAGGTCACAGGTCCAGGAATCTCTGATTTCCAAGGCTGATTACTCGTCAGTTCACGAGCGACCTTTCGTCCCTCCAGTACCGATCGACGCTCTGAATCCGTGTCGGGAACCTCGCCAGGCGTGTGCTGCGCTTGCGGATCGAGCTGCGCAACATGGAGTGTTTGTGTTGGGAACGCGAACTCGACCCCGAGACGATCTGCGAGGCGGACAACATCGAGCATGAAGCGGTGTTTTTCGCGAAGCTCGATGGACCAGTCGGGGCACTCAAAGAATATATAGACGAGGATGTCGAGCGAGTGGGCGCCGAAGCTGTTGAGCCAGACATGGTAATAGTCTTTGCGTGTGTAGGGGTGGAGTTTGACGATCTCGCGGATGCCGGAACAGAACGCCTCAATTTTTTCGGGAGGCGTGTCGTAGGTAACATTGAGTTTGGTGTTGAATCGACGGTACTTGCGTCGTCCGTAGTTATCGACGGTCGCGCGAACGAGCGTTGCGTTGGGGACCGTGACGAGCGAGTTGTAGAAGGTTCGGACGCGTGTGGAGCGGAATCCGAGGTCCTCGACGGTGCCTTCGACGCCGTTGGTCTCGATCCAGTCCCCGATCTCAAATGGTCGATCAAGGATCACAGCAATCGATCCGAAGAGGTTCTCGATCGTGTCCTTCGCTGCGAACGCGAACGCGAGACCACCGATCCCCAGTCCAGTCAGCAGCGGGAGGATCTCGATCTGGAACGCGTTGGCGATGTAGATCAGTCCGATCGCGGTCAGGAAGATTTTCACTGTCCGTTTGATCATCGGGACAAGCAGATCGTCGTATTTCGTCTCGGTTTTCGCGGCTTGGAGGGAGAGCCAATCGCTAATCAGATCGGTCACACGGAACGCGGCCCAGACCATGGACACCATAAAGAACAGGCGCACGGCGACGAGCAGGACTGGGACAACAGCAGTGGGGAGGAGTCCTTGATCAAGCGCGAAGTACCAGATTCCGGACGCAGCGAGCAATCCAAATGGCCGTACCGCTCGTGCGAGTGAGTCTTTTTCGACTTCTTTGCCTCGTTTGACTTCGAATCGGTGCCATGCGGTGCGGAGGATCGTGCGGACGAGCTGATCGACGATGATCCCGATGAAGACAACGACGAGGATCCCGATCCACTGCCAGAGTTCCATGCCGAGGAAGAGGTTGCCTTTGAGTGTGTCTGGGATCTCGTTACGGATCTTTCTACTCAGCGATTCCTTTGCTTCCGATTCCACGACGACGCGTTCGTTCTCTGTCGCGATCCAGAGTGAGTGGATCGTCTCGGCTGTGGATCTTGAGAATCTCCATGATCCCTGGTCATCTTCATTGAGGGTGATCTCGCCGTCATATTTCCGTGACCACGCGAGGTGTCTGAGTGATCGGGCCGTGTCTGGGTAGAGGGTGTAGGTTCTTGAATCAGGATCACTGGGGTGATCGGAGTATTCGATACGTTCCAGGCGGTTGAGGACCTCATAGAGCTCCATCGCGGTAGTGACTTTGGTCGAGTGGAGGAGTCCTGGAGGGAAATCGATGCTCCTGAGTGCGTCTTCCACGTTGTAGGGGCTGGTCTCAGTGATCCCTTGTAGGAAGGTCAGGAGGGTGTTTCGAGGGGATTCCAAGCCTTGCTCAGGGGTCGGGGCAGTGGTCTGCAGGTCGCTTTGTGCTGTCGTTTGTCCATTGGTTTGATCGTCCTGAGCGATTGCTTGGGGTGGGGTCCATCCAAGCGTGGCGAGAGCAAGCAGGAGCATCGCGATCGGGCGGGCAAATGGGGTAGTCCGGGGGGCATGAATTGAGTGGGTTTTTTGTTTCATCACGCCTGCATGCTAGGCAATCTGCGATCAAGTGCCCTATCGTTTGGGCCCAACGGGTGGCGCGAGGAGCGTCCCCAAAACACGCGATTTCACCGAAAGGAAAGCGCATGGCAGCTGGAACCAAAGGCACCATCACGCAGGTCATCGGATCAACCTTCGATGCTCAGTTCCCCGAGGGCGATTTGCCCGATATCTACAACGCGATCTCTGTCGAGTTTGAGCTCGACGGCAACGCTGTGAAGCTGACCGGAGAGGTCCAGCAGCACCTCGGCGGCGGACGTGTGCGAGCAGTCGCGCTCGGAACCACCGATGGTCTAAGCCGCGGCATGGCGATCACTGACCTTGGCGCACCGGTTTCGGTCCCTGTTGGTGAGAAAGTCCTCGGACGCGTGTTCAACCTGCTCGGCGATCCGATCGACAACAAGCCAGCTCCAGAGGGCGCGGATCGCAAACCGATCCACCGTGAACCACCTGAGTTCTCGGCGCTGAACCCAAAGACTGAAATCCTCGCGACTGGTATCAAGGTCGTCGACTTGCTCTGCCCGTTCGTGCGTGGTGGTAAGATCGGCCTCTTCGGTGGTGCGGGTGTGGGCAAGACGGTGATTATCCAGGAGATGATCGCTCGTGTTGCTCGTGAGTTCGGTGGGTACTCCGTGTTCTGTGGTGTGGGTGAACGTACTCGTGAAGGGAACGACCTCTGGCGCGAAATGTCAGAAGCGGAGTTCACTGATGAGAACGGCAACACCGCGTATGTTATTGACAAGGTCGCGATGGTCTTCGGTCAGATGAACGAGCCTCCAGGTTCGCGTCTCCGTGTCGCTCTTTCCGGCCTCACCATGGCGGAAGACTTCCGCGATGAGTCGGGTAAGGAAACCATGATGTTCGTGGACAATATCTTCCGCTTTACCCAAGCGGGTTCGGAAGTGTCCGCGCTCCTCGGCCGTATGCCTTCAGCGGTGGGTTACCAGCCAACCCTCTCGACTGAAATGGGTGAGCTCCAAGAACGAATTACCTCGACTGCCAAGGGTGCGATCACCTCGGTGCAGGCGATCTATGTTCCTGCGGACGACCTCACTGACCCGGCTCCAGCGACGGCGTTTGCTCACCTCGATGCGTTCGTGGTTCTCGAGCGTTCGATCGCTGAAAAGGGTATCTTCCCTGCGGTCGATCCACTCGCATCGACCTCGCGTATTCTCGATCCAGGGATCATCGGCGAGCGTCACTACGCGGTCGCGCAGCGCGTACAGAAGGTGCTCCAGCGCTACAAAGACCTCCAGGACATCATCGCGATTCTTGGTGTGGACGAGCTTTCCGACGAGGACAAGCAGATCGTGGGCCGCGCTCGTCGTATCGAACGCTTCCTTTCCCAGCCGTTCTATGTTGCTGAAGTCTTCACCGGCTTCCCAGGTATCTACACCTCGCTCGAAGAATCCATCGATTCGTTCGAGCGTCTGTGTGACGGCGAAGGCGACGACCTCCCAGAATCCGCGTTCATGTATGTCGGTACACTCGACGACGCACGCAAGAAAGCAGAAGCCGCGGCTGCCGCTGCTGGTTGATTGCTCAAATCAAACTCGAATCGACTCACCCGCTTCGGCGGGTGTTTTTTATACTGCTTTTAACTCGCAGTAGATTCCTGCTCAATGGTCCATGTCAGCTGCTCTCCGGTGCAGTCAATATGGATGCAGAAGAATCCCGGCCCGCCGTCGCTGCCTGTGTTCTCGTGCTTGTTGACCATCGGCCAGATGATCTCGCGATCGGTGTCTGGGAGCGGGAGCTCGGAGATTTCGTCGGGATGGTGCCAGCGGAGTTCGCCTTCGTCCATGTGCCCGTCGACGACCTCGACCGGGACCATCACTCGGTAGTAGAACAGCAACCAGTGGGTTTTGCCTTCAAACGCCGTCTCGGCGATGAGACCAACCAAGCGGATGTCGTCGATGTCCACATGGATCCCGGCTTCTTCCATAATCTCGCGCTGAGCGCACTGATTGGGAGATTCGCCGAGATGCATCTCGAGCTTCCCTCCGATGGGAGAGCAGAGCCCCTTGTTGGGCGCTTTGATGCGATGGAGCAGGAGCACACGCCCGTCCTTGTCTCGAAGATCACACAAGCACGCGAGTTTGTAGGGAAGCCCCGCGTTCTTTGGGTCCTCAGTCATTCCGGGCAGGATGTTGGCAGCGTCGCTCATGCACTAGCGTAGGCAGTGAAGTCTACTGAGCTTGCTCATGATCAAATGATGCGATCAATCGGTATGACTTCACGGATGGATCAAAGTGCTCAGCACGGATGCTCTGATATTCCTCATTGTTGAAGAACCGCTCCATCGTCGATTCATCTGGAAACGAGAGGATGAAGACCCTGTTGAATGGATCGTCCGCGTCGCCTTGGAGCATTTTGCTGACACGGAGATCCAGCCGGAAATACCCACCCATCTCGTTGAGAATTGGGGTCATCCCTTCGCGATACTTTGTGTATCCGTCTTTATCGCTCTCGTGGAGTCCGACGAGAACTTCGAATCGTTTGGTTGCTGTGGTCATGCTCAGTGTACGAATGAGCGGATGCTGTGTTCACTCAGAATGCGACTTCGAAGTCTGTTTCCGCGAACCTTTGTACATCTCGTAGCTCAGCAGTCGGCATTCGACCTGTGCATTGAAGAAGATCTTGCGCGACGAAGTTTTGAGTCCGATGTGGTTCGCGAGTGTCCTGTTCCCTGTAAACACATGTCCCGTCCATCCTCGGCACTCGTTCTTGAAGAAGTCTCCGATACCGGCGTAGGTCGGGATGAGATCATCGGTTTCTCCGAGGCGCAAGCCGTATTCCGGATTGAGAATCACATGTCCCGGCTCGTCTGGGATGTGCGTTTCACGGAAGTCGCAGCATTCAAAGTCGATAAGGTGTTCAACTCCTGCGGTCATCGCGTTCTTGCGTGCGGCTTCGATTGCTCGCGCGCTGTGATCCGTCGCGATGATCGGTTTGGTGATGCGATTGGGCTGTGATTTCTTCGCTTCTTGACGCATCTTCATGTACAGATCATCGATGTCCAGTGCCGTATGCAAGCAGCTCGCGTCGTTTCGGAGTAGTCCAGGTGCTCTTCCCGCGGCGATGAGCGCCGCTTCGATCGCGAGGGTTCCTGAGCCGCACATCGGATTGACCAGGGGAGTCGAGCCGTCGTATCCAGCACCCATGAGCACCGCGGCGGCGAGGGTCTCGCGCATCGGCGCATCGTGCGGCATCTTCCTGTATCCGCGATCGGAGAGTCGGATGCCGTTGGTGTTGAGGTAGATCCAGGCGCGATCGTTCTTCCAAACAAGATGGATGACGACGCTGGAGCGATCGGGTCCCGAATCTGGACGAGCGCCGGTCTTTGCCTTGATCCGATCAACGATGGTGTCCTTGAGCTTGAGGTTGGGGTACATCGTGTTGTCCACGCTGTGGTGTTCGATGTTGGAGGTGATCGTGAAGTAGGAATCGTTCTCGATCAGATCTTCCCACGGAAACGAGCCAGCGTTCTTTGCGAGCGCTTCAAGAGAAGGGCAGCGGAATCGTGTCAGCAACCAGAAGGTGTGATTCGCGGTGCGGAGGTTGAGGTTCAGACGCATGCAGTCCTCGAGCGTGGCGCCGATGTGAACCGCGACATGATCCTCTTCTTGGATCTCGTATCCGAGCGATTGGACCTCTTGCTTGAGATACGGCGTGATATGCTCGGCGCAGGTGATCCGAGTGAGCCGTTTTTTGAGTGGGTCGATCGAGGTCATAGCTCCAACTGTAGTGGGGTAGTCTGTCTGGATTGCTGGGTCACGGCGAGTTGAATCGAAGAATCCACACAGATTCCGTACGCTGAGGGAGTCCTTATGGAACAATTACGGATATCAGGATTCAGAGAAATGAAAAAAGTGCTCGATTTACGGGTTTCCATGCTGATATGATGGTTCCTTGCCGTATTCGACTCGATCTCTGTGTGAAGGATTCCACGATGTCATTCCCGAAACAGTTTACATGGGGCGTTGCCTCCGCCGCCTACCAGATTGAGGGAGCGACATCTGCAGATGGTCGTGGCCCAAGCATCTGGGACGATTTCTGCAATACTCCTGGGAAAGTTTTTGATGGACACACAGGCGAGATCGCTTGCGACAGCTACAACAGATACCAAGAAGACATCAACCTCATCTCTGATCTTGGAGCGGGTGGGTATCGATTCTCGATCTCGTGGTCACGCTTGTTCCCAGACGGCACTGGAGAACCCAACGAAGCGGGGTTCGCGTACTACGACAAACTGATTGATGGATTGCTCGCGAAAGGCATCGAGCCTTGGGTAACGCTCTATCACTGGGATCTCCCATCAGCGCTGTACAAACAAGGCGGATGGCTGAATCCCGAATCTCCAGAGTGGTTCGCGCGATACACCAAAGCGGTGGTGGAGCGCTACTCCGATCGTGTCACACACTGGTTCACACTCAATGAGCCTCAGATCTTCCTTGGTCTTGGAATGAACGAGGGTACGCATGCGCCTGGTGATCAACTGAGTCGAAAGGAAGTGCTGCTCGCGACGCATCATGCGCTGCTGGCACACGGGCGATCGGTCCAGGTCATCCGCGAGTATGCAAAGAAAGCGCCAGTGGTGGGGTTCGCGCCTGTCGGATGTTTGCACACGCCTGCGACAGAGTCTGCTGAAGATATCGAAGCGGCACGACAGGCTACCTTCGGGATTGATCCGAAGGGGTGGACATACAACTACAGCTGGTACTGTGACCCAGTCATGCTTGGTCATTATCCAGAGGTTGGGTTGGAGTTGTATGGAAAGGATGTTCCAGATTGGAGCGAGCGCGATCTGGAGATCATGCATCAGCCGTTGGACATGTTCGGCGTGAATATCTACAGCGCTGGAATCGTCAGAGCGGGCGCTGATGGGAATCCCGAACTACTCAAGTCTGAGCGCGGCTATCCCACAACGATGTTCCGATGGACGATTAATCCATCTTCACTCTATTGGGGACCCAAGTTCTTACAAGAGCGCTACAAACTCCCTGTCGTGATCACAGAGAACGGTCTCGCTTCAATGGACTGGGAGCACCTGGACGGGAAGGTGCACGATGAGGGTCGGATCGATTTCTTGACCCGATACCTCGCTCAGCTGCGCCGAGCATGCAACGATGGAGTCGATGTGCGAGGATACTTCCAGTGGTCGATACTCGACAACTTCGAGTGGGCCGAGGGGTACGCGCTGCGATTCGGATTGGTGTACATGGATTACCAGCAGATGCGACGGATCCCGAAGGAGTCGTACTTCTGGTACTCGAAAGTCATCGAATCCAACGGCGGCACAATCCCTGCGGATTTGGCTCAAAATCCCGTAACAGTCCCATAAGCGGAACTGGCGGCTAAAAAAGTCTCACATATCGCAGGTTTTGGGGTTGGAAGATCTCGGGAATCTGATACACTGATGTAACAGTTACGTCATTCGTGATGCGTCTTTGTTTGTAATTGTTCCAAAGTAGCGCATCTTGATAAGAAATGAACCACAATCCAAGATCGAAGGAGATCTCCATCATGCGCCGCTCACTTATCACCACCGCTGTCCTCGGTATGGCTGCATTCAGTGCAAACGCTCAGAATCTGTTGTCCAACGGAAGCTTTGAAACCCCAGGTCCAGGATTCATCGTCTTTGAAGATTGGCAACACTTCAACAATGTCTTTGCGGATGAGTCCGTCGAGCAGACTCCACAAGACGGCATGACATCCGGCAAGATGTTCGGATTCGGAAATGGAATGCAGAACGATCATGGCATGTTCCAAATCGTTGATGGTCTCACTGAGGGTGAAGAGTACACCCTCAGCGGGTATGTCCTGAATCCATCCAACGATCAGCTTGGATCGGAGAATGTCATCATCATGCAGCTCAACTTCCTCAACTCTGGTGGTGCTGTGCTCGAGACTGTCCAGGTTGAAGTGATCGATCCTGACACGAGCCCATTGGATCAGTGGGTGCTCGGCGAAGTCGGTGGCATCGCTCCTACTGGCACGACACAAGCAAGTGTCTACCTTCTCCACATCCAGCTCGGCGCCGATGCTGGATTCCCGACCCAAGATGGTGGGGCTTCCTTCTGGGATAACTTCATGCTCATCGAAGGCGGCGGAACTGGTTGTAACAACCCAGTAGACCTCAACGGCGATGGCACACTGAACTTCCTCGATGTATCGCTGTTCCTCCAGCTCTACGGCAACGGCTGTTAAAGCAGAGTACATTCTACAAATCTACGATTCCCTCCGTAGAACGGGCTTCGGCCCGTTTCTTTATGCGCGCACAGAACTCAGTCGCAATCAGTTCGTCATGAGAGATTGCTTTATCCCTTGACCGCGCCGCTGGTCAGTCCGGAGATGAACTGCTTCTGAAGCACGAGGAACAGCACGGCGACTGGCGCGACGGAGACAACGGTCGCCGCCATGAGTAAGCCGTAGTCGGTGCGATACACACCGCGGAGTTGAGAGATCGCGACAGAGAGTGGTTGCTTGGACGAGGTCTGCAGCACGATCTGCGGCGAGATGAAGTTGTTCCACATGCCGAGGAAAGTGATGAGCAGGAACGCGCCGATCATCGGACGGATCAGCGGGAGCACGATGACCATAAAGATGCCGGCTTCGGAACATCCATCGATTCGAGCTGCTTCAATCAGTTCGTCAGGCACCGATTGCTGAACAGCTTGGCGAAACAAGAACACACCGAATGCAGGGGCGAAAGTCGGGAGGAGCAATCCCCACACCGAATCGAGCAGTCCGAGATGGAAGAGGAGTTCATAACTGGGCGCGATGAGGAGTGTTGGTGGGACGATCAATGATCCAAGCACGACAAGAGTCATAAAGGCGCGTCCACGAAACTTGGACTTGGCGAGCACATACCCCGACGCGGCGCAAATGAAAGTCGCGAAGACAGCACTCGTTGATGCATAGAAGACCGAGTTGATCGCGGCGCGTCCGAATCCCATCTCCATGAGCGCGGTGTAGTTGCTGAGGGTGAGTGATTCCCACGAGATGCCAAGGAATCCATCCCCTGGAGGGAAGAACATGCCGCTGAAGAAGTCTTCGCGCGACTTGAGTGATGCGACGAGCAGCCACGCGTATGGCAGCAGCACAACGATTGCGAGCACGATCAGCACGATGTGTGTGATGGATCGGGACAGTTTGGAGGGTCTAGCGACACTCATCGCGAAGCCTCCTCTTTGCGGACCATACGGATCTGGATCAGTGCGAGCACAATGAGCATAAGCGCCAGCGCCCAACCAACGGCACTCGCGTATCCGAGATCACCGAGTTCAAAGCCGTTTTGATACAGGTACATGACAATGGTGAGTCCCTTGTTGTTGGGTCCGCCGTTGCCGTTGAGGAGGATGTAGGGGAGCTCGAAGAGTTGGAGAGATCCGATCATCGAGAGTAGCACAACAAAAGTCGCAACTGGACGCACAGAGGGGATGATGACATGCCGGAGTTTGCTCAGTGGTCCGGCGCCATCGATTTCTGCGGCTTCGAGCAGCGAGTTGTTGACATTCTGGAGTGCCGCGAGGAAGTAGATCATGTTGAATCCGACATACAACCAGAGCGAGATCAGGATGAGCGTGGACATGATGTACTCTTGGAGCCAATCAATCTCGAGCAGCGATGCGTCTTGCATCATCCACGCGAGTGTGCGATTGACCAGTCCCGCTCGTTTCTCAAACGCGAGGGCTCCAAGCACAGCGACGAACGCGAGTCCCATGAGCTGCGGACTGAAGAAGATCAAGCGATAGATCGATCTTCCCTTGAGCCGACGCGAGTTGAGCACGAGCGCGAGACCAAACGCGAGTGGGAGCTGGATGAAGAGCGATCCGAGCGAGTAGATCAGTGTGTTTTTAATCGCGGTCCAGAAGACGGGGTCCTCGATCAGTAGCTCGAAGTTTTTGGTCCCGACGAAGAGGCGCGTGTCTGGGCCGTAGGTCTGGTTAAGCGCGAGGAACGCGGACTGGATGAGCGGATAGACCATAAAGATCGCAAAGAGCAAGATGAACGGTGTCAAAGCTGCCCAAGCGAATACGGTCTTGTTGGTGCTGAGCCGATTCATCATTTCGATTCGACTCCAGTGAAGGCGTTCCGCGACATCTGACGCTCGATCGCGCCTTGTGCTCGTTCGAGTTGCGAGCGCACTTGCTCAAGGAGTTGGTCATCCGTCCAGTCGGATTGGTTCTTCGTCCATTCCATAACATTGAGCGCCGAATCCCGGATCTCAAGGACGGCGTTGTAGTTGTACGGCGATGAAGAACGGATCGGGATGTCCGGCGCCAGTTCGATGAACATCAACCCTTTCTGCTGATTCATAAAGAACGGATCCGGCTCGGCGTACACCGGATCATTCCACAGCGATCGTATCGGAGAGATGATGTCAACCATCCGATACAGTTCGCGAGCGATTTCTGGCGCGGTATAGAGCTCGACTGCTGTTTCCCAGGATTGTTCGAATGCTTGCGTGGTCTTTGGGATTCCGAGCATGGTTCCGCCTCGGACGCTGGTGCGGCGTCCACCTTCGGTGAACGCGGGGAGTGGCATGACTTTCATCTTCCCGGCGATCCCAGGGACATGCATCTTCCAGATCGAGCACATCCAGTCTGGACAGAGGTACGCGATCGCATCGCCGTCGACGCGTGACTTGTGTCCCGCGGCGGTGAACTCGTCGATATCCGTTCCAAGTGGATTGGGGCCGGCGCACCACGAGATGATCTCGGCGAGTAGCTGTGCGTTGGTTTCCGTATTGATTGTTGGGATGCCTTGGGTGTCGAAGAGTTGAGCACCACCTTGGAGCATCAGGAGTTCAATGTTGTCTTGCTGGGTGATCCACATCGAGAGGGGATAGTGATCTGGACGGCCATCGTTGTCATTATCCACCATCATCGGTTTGAGCAGTTCAAAGAACTTGTCCCAAGTCGTTGCTTGTGTCAGATCAATTCCCGCGGCTTCGGTCAGATCGGCGCGATACGCGAGCATGACTGGGTGCACATCGTGGGGTAAGCCGTAGGTCCGGCCGTTGACGCTCCACGGACTGAGCGATGGGGCGTTGATCTGGTCGTACAGTCCTTCCGCTTTGAGTCGATCCGTCAGATCATGGAATCCGATCGCTTCTTGTGGGCCTTGAAAGAACTGACCAATGTACGCACGCTCGATTTCAATCAGATCAGCGGTGGGGAGTCCACCCAAGAATCCACTCATGGTTCTGTTCTTGATCGCTTCCCTGCTCAGCAGTGAGAGATCGATCGGTTTCTCGTCGCCTTCAGTTCTGTCTTGAAGTTCTTCGATCATCGGCGCGTACATCGCGCGATGCTCTGGTGAGAAGACCCACATCTGGAGGTTCTCACTCGGGCGATCAGATTTGGTGAACAAGATCAGTCCGCTGATCACAAAGAGGGCGACGATGATCCACACGCCGAGCGAGAGGTGTTTGAGTGAGAGCAGTGCGAGTGAGCAAGCGTGTCTCATGCGTGAGCTTGGGTCCATGCGTGAGCCAGGAGCTCGTTGTGGTGTTATCGAATGAGATCACCATTGCGATCGATACGGATCGGCTTTTCATTCGCGTAGGAAGTGGTCTCGAGGACTTCAAAGTCCGTCGGACGGACCTCGCGGTATTGTTCAGCGAGGATCGATTCACTGGCGCGAGTGATCCAGCGTGCGGCTTCGATCCCGAGGGAGACCGCGTCCTGACAAACGGCGGTGTAGCGAGGGTAAGTCTGGAATCGGGTGACCGAGTCATCGAACCCAACGATCGAGAGATCACGCGGAACCTTGATCCCAAGGCGCAGGCATTTATGCAGTGCACCGATCGTGGACATTGGGTTGGTGAAATAGACCGCTGTGGGTGGGTTCTCGAGTTCGAGGAGTTTGGTGAGCATGATCTCGCCGCCTGCCGTGTTTGCTTCAGCGCGGACGATAAGCGAGTCGTCTATCTCAATCCCGGCACCTTTAAGTGCCGCGAGGTATCCGTCCAGACGATCTTGGTGGTCTGTGTCCATCATGTTGTGGATCGCGAGACCGATGCGTTTGTGTCCCAGACCAAGCAGGTACTCCACGGCTTTGCGTGAGGTGTCGCTCGAGATCGAGTCGATGTAGTTTACCTGAGGATTGTCCGAACGATCAGCGACGAGCAGAACTGGGAAGTTTTCCGCAGCGATCTTCTCGACGAGTGATTCATCACCAAGCGAACGCAAGAGAATCGCGCGAACACCTTTGCGATGGAAGAACTGGGTGTAGCTCTCATCGTTGTGCTTATCGCGCGCGGCGCTGATGAAGGTGAGATCGTGTTTCTTCTCGTAGACACCCCGAAGGATGCCGGAGAGAAGGGCTGCTTCAAAGTCGCCCATGTCGGATTTGACGGGGTCTTCAGGATACACAAGACCAATCACATTCGTTGGCTTGAGACCAGTTGAGGGACGGTACCCCGCTTGTTCCGCGGCTTCGAGAACGCGCTTGCGCGTAGCAGGACTCACACCCTCATGGTGGTTGATCGCTCTGGAAACGGTTGCGACCGAGATACCTAGATCGCTCGCGATTTGTCGTACCGAACTCATAGAATCATTCCCGTCCTAGTTCTCGATTCTCGACCTTCTGGTCATCAGGTGACCATAGTACTTTATAGGTGCTTCGTCCTGTGTCTGCATCAAACAGCTCACGAGCTTCATAGTAGTCGACATGCCCATCTGCGAAGACCATATTGGCGCCGCCCTCGATCTTAAATGGCTCTTCTCGACGGTTCGGATGACGGTAGTAGGGGATGTAGCTTGTTGGTTCGAGCTCCGGATTGCCGTCCATCTCTGGGGCACGCTCATAGCCACCGCCGCCTCTCCAGAGTCCGTTCCAAGGATCCAGAGGTCCATCTCCTGCACCGAATCGTTCTCCTGGGAGTCCTCTTGAACCCATGTTCGCGGCAGAGAACCATGTTGTGATGCCTGAATCGTCCTCAATTTCCGAAGGCCAGAATCCCCATGACTCGGCAAAGAGGAGAGTCGCACTGCTTCGATCAACTGTGTTGTTGAAAGCACGGCCCATCTGATAGGTGTCAGGATTGTCGCGGAATGCTCCAGGTTTATAGAAAATGGACTGGCCCGTGGTCCAGTTTGGTTCGGATTCGCCCGCAGATGCTGCCCAGTAGTTCATCGTGTATGAACGAGCGGGATCAGGATGGTTGGGACACTCCATAACGGAACCGCCGACGGTTGGGTTCTCCACACTATCGGCTGCGACATTACGGAAGTCTTCCTGCGGCAGGTACTGACCAATCCTATTCACATCGTACCAGACCATATTTCGCTTGCCGTTCTCAGGATCGATGACAAATGGTCCACCAACGGCAGGAGGGAACTTGCCTCGATAGTCATCAGAGTACAGCACCGTCGCGGTCCCAATCTGTCGAAGATTGGATTTGCACAGGACATTGCGAGCGCTGTCTCGCGCCTGACCAAGTGCTGGGAGGAGGATCCCAATCAGCAGCGCGATGATTGCGATGACGACAAGGAGTTCGATGAGCGTGAATGCTGATCGTTGAAGGGGGGTGTTTCTTTGAGTGACCATAGGAAATGCTCCGGTGGAGAATGGTGCAATCTGTAACAGTTACATCATTGTGTCAGAATCAAGACCTTGTGTCAACCCCTCATGAATAATTGATCCGAATAAAATCATAACATATTGAAAATAAGTTGTTTATGGCAAGCATTGGGGGTGGCGTGATTATGTGTTGTGCAAGAAATTATCGAAAAATCAGCTTCAGGCTACAAACTTGATATGAAACTGTTACGCTTTGGGCATGGCTGTGAAACTTCCAATAATCGCTCTCATTCTGGTAAGTCTTCAGGTAGGTATCTTTGGAGGATGCGCTATGAGCTCGATCAAATCCAGTGTCGTGGAGATTCGTACTCAGGATGAAGGGTTCCAGTTGATGAAAGATGGTCAGCCCTACACCATTCATGGTGTTGGAGGGACAACAAACCTCGAACTCCTGAAGCAATATGGCGGGAACACCATCCGCACATGGGATGCGGAGGGCATCGAGCCGCTGATGGACGAGGCGCACGAGTTGGGACTCTCAGTCGTCGTGGGGATTTGGTTGGAGCACGCTCGGCATGATTTCGACTACAACGAGCCGGGAGCGAAGCAACAGCAGCTCGATCGTGTTGAGCGATTCGTGCGTCAGTTCAGAGATCATCCGGCGTTACTCGCGTGGGGAGTTGGTAACGAAGTCGAGATCGGTGGAACAATGGACGGCGCGATTCAGCAGATCAACGACGCCGCGGAGTTGATTAAAACGCTCGACACGAATCATCCAACGATAGCGATCCTGGCAGAGATCGGGAAAGACAAAGCGATCCGAGTTGAGACTGAGTGTCCAAACATCGACATCCTCGGGATCAACTCGTATGGAGGTCTTGGGAATCTCGCGAAGAGGCTTGAGCATCAAGGTGTCACGCTGCCATATGTCGTCACAGAGTTTGGTCCGCTCGGACATTGGGAGAGTGGCTACGCGCCTTGGGGCGCACCGTATGAAATGTCAAGTAGCGCCAAAGCGGAGTTCCTCCGCAACAACTACACCAAGACGATCACTCCGAACCTCGGGAAGCAATGCCTTGGTTCCTTTGCGTTCCTTTGGGGAAACAAGCAAGAGAAAACCTCGACCTGGTACGGCTTGCTGCTCGAATCCGGAGAGACAACGGAAAGTGTTGATGTGCTCCACGAACTGTGGACTGGTCAACAGGTCAAGAACGCGGCGCCAAGAGTTGAATCGCTTGAAACTAAAGCAAACCTGCACGCGCTCCAACCGAACCAACAGATCGAGATCGGCGTGCTAGCGAGCGATCCCGATGGTGATCCGATGAGTGTTCAGTGGGAAGTGGTTAGCGAATCAACGGTCGAATCCATGGGCGGCGACTTCGAAGAGAAGATCGAACCGGTCCAAGTTGATGTTCAAAAGCTCGATGCGCTTACTTGTTGGATCACCATGCCGAGCGAATCCGGCGCGTACCGCATCTTCGCGACTGTTCGCGACGGTCAGGGGCACGCCGGGACGGCGAATGTTCCGGTTCTGATCGTCGAAGACTAAGTCATCTCTGATTGGGTTACGGGCAGCCGCTTCCGAACACAGTCAGGAATTCTGAAACATCGAGGAAGTTCAGGTTTCCATCTTCTGTGAGGTCTGCACTCAGGTTCCCCTCTGCAAAGAGAGTTAAGAATGCGGAGACATCGAGGAAGTTGAGTTGTTCAAACGGCTCAGCGAAATCCGCGTCGTTGCACATGCCGCTGCTTGCGAGATTGAAAGTCAACGCGTTGAGGTTGTACTCTGTGCTCGAATCGCCATCGTTGACAAAGCGGATGATCTGAATGCCTTCGTTGAGCTCGACTTGTGTGGTGACATCGATCCAGTTCTGCCACCCTCCTGACGAGAAGAACACTACTGGTTCGCTGATGTCTTCGCCGTTGCTCTCAAGGTGGAATGCGCCGAAGGAGTTGAGTGATGCGACGCGTGCGGTGACATCGTAAGTGCCGGCGGTCTGTACATCGACGGTGTACTCGAGCCACTCGTTTTCACAGATCCAGCCGACATTAAATCCACCTTCAGTGGATTCTTCGATGTCCACTCCAGTGGATCGATAGGCGCCGCCGTTGTTGCTTTCGTCGCAGTCTTGGTAGCTCTGACCGTTGAATCCGTTATCAAAGTCTTCGGCTTCGATGCGTCCTGGAATCTCAGCGGGTTGATCGCCGAACGGGCCTTGGATCTGCTGGTATACACGCACATAATCGACTTCGAGCGTTTGTGGGTAGCTCGCGGACCCGTTCGGGTTTCCGGGCCAGTTTCCTCCTACGGCGACATTAAGAAGGAGGTGAAACTGTGTATCAAACGGCGCGCGAACATTCCCAGGCGCTGCTGAGGAGAACCATTCATTGCTGTTGACGCTGTGGTACTGTTGCCCGTCGATATACCAACGGATCTGATCCGGTTCCCATTCGATCGAGAAGACATGGAAGTCGTCGGAGTAATCGATGCCGTTGTTCAACGATCCGCCGTTGGATTGGTTGTTGGGCCAGTTATTGCCGTAGTGGATGGTGCCGTGCATTGAGTCTGCTGTGTTGATCGACTCCATGATGTCGATCTCGCCGGATGATGCCCATCCTCCATACGGTGAGTTGGTGGGGAGCATCCAGAACGCGGGCCATACTCCAGAGGTTGAAGGGAGCTTCATGCGTCCTTCGATTCGACCATACAGGAAGTCACGCATTCCTTGCGTGCGAAGTCTCGCCGATGTGTACGGCTGACCACCAAAGCTCTGCTGACGCGCGATGATTTTCAGCGTGCCGTTTGATACGACAATGTTGCTGGAACCGTTGGTGTAGTACTGGAGCTCGTTGTTTCCCCAACCTGCGGGCAAGCCGTACGCTGTTCCTGTCCCTGTCTGGGCTTCCCAGGAGCTCGTATCGAGTTGGTTACCATCAAACTCGTCACTCCAGACCAGTTCATAGCCCTGAGCATGAGCAAGAGCCGTAGGCATAGCGATGGCGAGCGAGAGGAACATATTTCTGTTGATTGTCACTTTTTGAGCTCCAGGCTATTGTGTAACTGTTACATTATCGTACAGTGTCCATCCGCAGATGCAATACGATTTCACTCAATACGGATAAATTTAAGACTCAGCAGGCCGTCTCAGCTCGCAATGCAAACCGGACAACGAGGTACTTGAAAACCCATGGCTTCGATCTCGCTCAACAACCTTACGAAGACCTTCGCCGATGGGTTCACCGCCGTGGACAATCTCAACCTCGACATCAAAGACGGCGAGTTCGTGGTCTTCGTGGGACCTTCTGGATGCGGCAAATCCACCACACTCCGCATGATCGCGGGATTGGAATCCGTTTCCTCTGGATCAATCACGATTGGTGATCGTGAGGTCAACAAAGTCGCTCCCAAAGATCGTGACATCGCGATGGTCTTTCAGAACTACGCGTTGTATCCGCACCTGAGTGTTGAGGACAACATGGGTTTCGCGCTGCGGATGAGCAAGATGCCCAAGGATGAGCGAGCCGAGCGTGTGCTCGAAGCCGCGAAGATGCTTGGTCTTGAGGACATACTCAACAAGAAACCGGGTCAGTTGTCCGGCGGACAGCGCCAGCGCGTTGCGCTTGGTCGTGCTGTTGTGCGCAAACCCGCGGTGTTCTTGTTTGATGAGCCGTTGTCGAATCTTGATCCCGATCGACGCGCATCAACACGCGCAGAGATCCGGCGCATCCAGCGCGAACTCGGAACGACAACGGTCTATGTGACACACGATCACGAGGAAGCGATGGCGCTCGGAGATCAGATCGTGCTGCTCGATGAGGGGGTGTTGCAGCAAGCGGGACCGCCTGGCGAGTTGTTTGATCAACCGGCCAACAAGTTTGTAGGGACCTTCCTTGGCGCGCCCAAGATGAACATCCTCCCGGCGACGATTGATCGTCGAGCTGATCGAGTAATCGTGCAAGTGGACTGCGGCGATTCGCAGCTCGAGTTCCTGCTGGATGATTCGAGAGTTCCAGCGAGTGCCGATCATGGAGATCAGGTCTCGATTGGGATCAGACCGCATTGCATCGGGATCAATGAGGGCGGCACAGAATCGCACGCATCGTTCCAAGGGCGCGTGAGTGACATGGAACGGCTCGGATTCGCGGTCGATCTACATATTCAGGTTGGACCACATACTCTGCTGGCACGAGTGAATGGTGATTGCGATTTGGCAGTGGGGGATGAAGCAACATTCTCGTTTGATCCGAACATGGCGCACGCGTTTGTCGATTGAATTCTCAAGATCCAAAAACGGATCGCTCTCTTTGTACGAAAGCCGCTGTGTCCAACGGCGGACTTGAGAGTTACTCAGGAATGCGAGGACTCAGAGATCGATGCGCGATGGCTGTGCGCCCAGATTTTTGATTGGAACATACAGCCTATTGACTGAGGAGAAACACAATGAAACTCAACACACTTGCACAAATCACAACCATACTCGGAATCACGGCAATCAGCTCCGCTGATATCTTCACCTATGAGTTCGAGCTCGGCACAGAACAGACCAATCCTGTCGCGACAATCCCCGATGGATTCGATCCGACCGGATTCGCTGTCGTAAACATCGACACCACCGCCAACGCGATCGACTGGGAGATCACGTACTCGGGATTGACCGGTCCCATCAACGCGCCCGGTGGTCACTTCCACGGTCCGGCAGTGCTCGGAAACAATGGGGGACTGCAAGTCGACATCGTGGGGGACTTCGCAGGAACCGGAAGCGGAGCGCCGCTCGGACAACCCCAGTCGGGCATCCTGGTCGGGAGCTACGACTCGATGACCGATCAGCAGATCAGCGACATTCTCGGAGGTCTGTGGTACATCAACATCCACACCGACCTCAATCCAGCCGGCGAACTGCGCGGCCAGGTCGTCCCTGCTCCCGGAGCGCTCGCACTGCTCGGAGCGTGCGGATTGGTCACGACTCGTCGCCGACGATAACGAGCGAGTTTTTCATTTCGAGATCCGGATGTGGTTGAAGTTTGGATCACACAAAGACGCCCCTCACAACTGTGGAGGGGCGTTTGTTGCAAACGGAGAGGGGGGGATTCGAACCCCCGAGGGGCGTAAACCCCCACACGAATTCCAATCGTGCGCCTTAAACCACTCAGCCACCTCTCCAATCGTGATGGGGCTCGTTTGGGGGCGAGCCGTGGTCGGACGGATAGTGTAGGCGATCAGATCCGAGATGGGGAAGTCTGAGCGGATGAACAGTGGGGGTGGAGGATTTCAATCGACGATCAGCCCAGCAGTGCGATCCCGAGGGCTTTGAGCAGGTCCTCAGGCTCGCTCATGCGTCCCGTTCCGTCGTGACGGCAGGCCTGCCATCCAGCTCCTGGACCCACGATCTGGTTGCCGTCGGCTTGCGCCTGCTCGACATTCCTCAGGTTCGCGGGCTGGGACCACATCGCGTCGTTCATCGCTGGAGCGAGGAGCACAGGGGTCTTCTGTCGATTGATCGCGCTGAGGATCAGCGTCACGACAGAGCTTGTGCGAGCGTGGACGATGTCGCTGAGCGTGTTCATCGTGCACGGCGCGATCAGGACGGCATCTGCGCGATCCGCGAGCGAGATGTGCTGGGGATCGGACGATTCCAGATGCTCCCAGGGAGAGGTGTACACCGGATTCCCAGACAGCGCCTGGAAAGTGAGCGGCGTGACGAAGTTCGTCGCGTTCTCGGTCATCGCGACGGTCACCTGTGCTCCCGCTTGCGCCAGACGCGAGACGACGGTGCAGACTTTGTAGACCGCGATCCCGCCTGAGATACCAATGAAAATCCTCGCGCCTTCTTCGCGTTCCTTTGTTGGACCAAAGATCGCGGAGAGTTTGCGAGGGTTGAGCCAATCTTCGTTGGTTTGGAACTCAGAAAGGCGTGGGTCGTCACTCATGTGGGAGAGGTACTCGGTTTAGAGCAGCGCTTCGCTCGCGGCGGGCTCGGCGGCTTCTGAGGTTTCCTGATCCTCGACGTACTCGAGGGTGATCTTGTCTTGCAGGATCTCTTCAACAACGAGCTCGAGATCAGTGCGTCCGTCGCGCTCGACGAGCGGACGAGCGCCGTCGAGGAGCTGCTGGAGTCGGCGTTGGATCAGCGCACAGAGCTTGAACTTGCCGCCGACTTTCTCAATGATTTCGTCACTTTTCAACGCTTCGATCATCTGCTATCCTTCTGTCAAGCCGCGGGTCGTGCTCGCGGGGGGATGGATCTGCTTGCAAACTTGTTGAGCGGGACGATGGTTCTCGTTCCCTGCTGATTGCAGCGGGAGGAAGTCTAGGCCGATCCAACCAGTTGGGCGACAACCGCTTGGGGCATCTGATGTACAAAATCCGCTCCCGATCGCTCAGGGGCAGCCGTTTGAACCCCTGTCAGAAGGGAATCTGTTGAATCTTATGAATCCGACCCAAATCCAGAAGTTCCAGATGGGTGATCGCGTGGTCCATGCGTCCAAACCAGAGTGGGGGGTGGGGATCGTCTCGACTTCGTCCATGGGCGAGCATGAGGGGCAGCCCTGCCAGCGATTGGTGATCCGCTTTGATCGAGCGGGACTCAAGACGGTATCGACGGCGTTCGCGAAGATCGAACCAGCCGGGAATCGGGTGGGGACGGTCCCAGAGAAAGAGTCCGCATCAGCGAAACTCGATGGGCTGGAGAATCCGATCCTCAAAGCGAGTGCTCGCGAGGTCCAGGACATCATGACGCGGATCCCTGAAGCCGCGCGTGATCCATTCGCGACTCCCGCGCAGCGGCTCCGATCGACGCTGTCGCTCTACCGATTCACGAACTCCGGAGCCCCCCTGATCGAGTGGGCCGTGATGCAGAGCGGGCTCAGCGATCCGCTCTCTCGGTTCTCGCGCCCTGAGTTGGAAGAATTCTTTGGGTTCTTCGAGAAGATTCTTTGGAAGCATCTCGGTAAGATGGTCCGGGAAGCCCGAGATGTGCCTGCTGCAGAGTTGGTCCAGATCCGGGATTCCGCTCCGATTGAGGGGCAACACGCGTTGCAGCGGCTCCACCGCTCGCGTTGATTCTGGGCAACACCCGGCACAGCCGGACCTGTTGAGACCCCTGGCGGCGAAGGACGCAGCCGGTCCCAGAATCTCCATGGATGACAAAAACGGATTGGTTTGATCCCAGGAGGGGATATTTTCGGACGCTTTGCGTGTCTGCGTTTTTTGGCACGCCCGCGCTCGGTTGTTGGCCGCGCGTGTGCAACTGGTGTGGTGCCGGCGAAGTTCGGCGTCATATCAAGAAAGGACATGTCATGACAGAAAATGAGTTCCAATCACGTCTTGCAACCCTCCTCGGACAGATCGATTCCCTCCCAGAGGATCAGCGTCCAAAGCTCGCGAAACTCGCTGCTGAAACTCAGGGGCGTCACCAGCGCATGAAGAAAACCATCTCAGAACTCCAAGAGTCGCTCGATCATCTGCGCTTGAGTGTCAAGTACCTCGTGTTTGATCTTGAAGCGACCCGCCGCGAAAACAAATATCTCCGCAATATGCTCGAATCCGAGAACCCTGGCAATGAGGGTGCGGATTGAGTCTGTTTTTGGTTGGTCACTGGGTGACTGACCAAGGGATTTGGTATTGATCGAGCACCCCGTAGGTGGGTAGCGGGGTGCTTGGTCGATGCTTTGGGTGTTCATACAAGGGATTCTGGTCCTGAGGGCTGGTGTCCCTTGTTCATTGCTCGATGCGTGTCTACGCTAACGGGCTACCAGCCGTGTTTTTGGCAGGTATTGGAGCGGTGCCCGAGAGGCTGAAGGGGCCGGATTGCTAATCCGGTGTACGGGGTAAACCCGTACCGAGGGTTCGAATCCCTCTCGCTCCGTTGTTCGAAAGATTCCACAGCTCCGCATCTTGCGGAGCTGTGTGTGTTATTGGAGGGTGGTTTTTAAGATCCTCACGCCGCCATTGGGTCTTGATCGCTGCTTTGCTGGCGCTGATTGATGAGTTCCTTACAGAGTTCGATCAGCTCGGCTTTCTTGATCGGTTTGGCGTGATATTCATCACAACCCACGGCGAGGCAGTTCTCGCGATCACTGGTCATCGCGTGCGCCGTCAATGCGACGATTGGCAGTGTGAGTCCGCGTGCACGGATTTGCTTGGTGGTTTCGTATCCATCGAGCACTGGCATCTGCATATCCATGAGCACCAGATCGTAATCAGATGAGTCAGTCAGCATGTCTAGACAGACTTTGCCGTTCTCGGCGATTTCAACAATGGCGCCAGCACGCTGGAGATGGTGCAAGATAAGTGTCTGGTTGTCCGGACCATCTTCGACGAGGAGAACTTTGAATCCCTTAAGCATGAGTGTTTGAGATGATTGTTCACTCGTGACCGAGTTCATCATGGTTACTTTGAGATCATGATACTCTTGGGTGCCAACCATATTGGCCGTATCGATTTTGCCTGGATTCACTGTGAACCAGAAGCGCGATCCAAACCCAAGCTCGGACTCCACTTGAATTGTGCCGCCGAGCATCTTTGCGAGTGTTGAAGAGATCCTGAGTCCGAGTCCGGAACCCCCATACTCGCGTGTTGTTGAAGAGTCTGCTTGAGTGAATGCATCGAAGATGATGCCGCACTGTTCTGGTGTCATACCGATTCCTGTATCAAGGACTTCGAATATGAGTTGGTTCTGGTGATCTGCATATGAGCATCTGAGCGTAATGGAACCACCCCCAGTGAACTTGATCGCATTACCAACGAGATTGAGCAGGATCTGGCGGAGCCTTGTTGGATCGGTTCGTACACGAGATGGGATCTTGGATGGGAACTCAATGTGGAACTCAAGTCCTTTGCCCCTCGCTCGTTCAGCGAGGAGTTGTTCGATGCTAATGACCAGTTCAAGTGGGCACACATCAACAAACTCTGCGTGCATTTTGCCTGCTTCGATCTTCGAGATATCGAGGATGTCGTTAATGACTGTGAGCAGGTGTTCGCCGTTTTTGCGGATAGTTTGAATAGCGCTGGTGGTCGCATCTGCCTGTTTGCTCGAGTGTTGTTCCTCTAGAATTTCTGTGTATCCCAAGATTGCGGTCATCGGCGTGCGGATCTCGTGACTCATATTGGCAATGAAGTCAGACTTCGCGCGATTCGAAGATTCAGCAAGTTGGAGTGCTGCTTTGAGGTTGTCTGCGTTCATTCGATGTTCGAGTTCGACCGAAGCGCGAGCGCCGAATAGCTTCAATGCTGTTTGCGGATCAATCGGAGATCGCAAAGGCTTGTCATGAACCACCATGATTATTCCGATGGTTTCACCTGAACCGTTCTTGAGCCGTAAACCAGCGTACCCCTGTGCATTCATGGAGTCCAAGATCAGGTCATCGGGATACATATTCGCGACATCCCGCTCGACCAGGCAGAACTCATTACTCACGGTGCTCTCGCAAGGTGTTCCCTTAAGTTCGTATTCAAACGGAACGACCGGTTCTCCGTTCATCGAGCCGGCGAGCAATCGAGCTGATGAGCATCCGTTGCTTTGGGTTGGGATCGAAACTCCAGCGAAGCATGCGTTGGTTGAATCTGCGAGTGCTTTACAAAGCTCGTCTAGTGTTTCTTGATGTGTTCCGCTCGCGTTGACTTCGAGTGCTGTCCGGATTGCGAGGTCGAGTCTCTTGGACGCATCGATGTCATGATGCTGTCCGATGATTCGTTTTGCGGATCCATCCCGATTGCGTTCAGTCACCATCGCATCGGATCTAATCCAGCGGTATGACCCCTCAGCGTGCAGAATCCGAAACTCATCCTGGAAGCGAGACTCGCCGGACTGCACAAATGAGCTGATGTGTTTCTGCACGCGCTCCAGGTCGTCGGGGTGCATTCTGCCAAAGTAGTGCCCCGCCGGGATGGGGCTTGGGAGTGGCTCATCCCCAAGCATCGTGAAATACAGTTGATTTGTGTGAAGGGTTTTGGCATTAACATCCCAGTCCCAGATCCCGGCGTTCGTCGATTCGAGCGCGAATGAAAGACGCTGCTCCATCTCGGAGATATTGGTGATGTCCGTCGCGATGGTAACCATTTTGCTGAAGAATCCTGAGCTGTCCAGGATTGGGATTTTGTCGATCGTCAGCGTCGTTTGATTTCCGTGCTCGTCTTGAAGCGTTCGGATGATGCCGGTCTGTGGGACTCCTTGGGCGAGCACATCCAGGTCTTCTTCGAATGAAGCGAGAGGGTTGTGCTCACTAAAGAACTCGCAGGCATTGTGCTGCTGAATCTGGCTCGGTTCAAGGCCGATGACCTCCGCGCCCGCTTGATTGATGCGCAGGATCTTGTTCGATTCATCCTTACAGATCACAATCGAAGGCATTGAATCAAGAACCAGTTTGAGCTCGTTCTCGATTTCCTTTTGGTGTGTGATATCAATCCGGTTTGAATAGAACGAAGTGATGGCTCCTTGCTCATCCTTGATCGGAACGATGGTGGTATCGACCCAATAGATCGAGCCGTCCTTCTTCCTGTTGCAGATCTCTCCTCTCCAAACCTGGCCTTTGGAGATCGTTCTGAACATTGATGTGAAGAAATCTTTGGGGTGGTAGCCCGAGTTGATGATCCTGCAGTTCTTTCCGAGCAGTTCTTGGCGTGTATATCCAGAGATTTCACAGAACGCGTCGTTCACATATCGAATCGTACCGTCCTTGCCTGTCATCATCACAATCGAAGCTTGCTCGACGACTCTGTGAAACATGTGAGGCTGATCAAGTGGGCACACATCAGCTGGAGTGACCAGATCGCGTGATACTCGAGCGTTCTGATCACGCAGCACCAAGACACAAAGTACAGCACCACTCAGAAGTGTGATGACCCAGAGTGCTGATTGGACAGTCCAGATTGTGTGTAGTTGTGCTGAGATGACTTGTGAAATCAGCGTGCCGATCATCGAAACCACAAACAAAGACACCAGAATCGTGCGAAAGTAGATCCACGACCCGCGTCCCAATGTGTTCGATGAACACTCTGCACGAAACTTACCGTCACGCTGTGAGAGCGTTCGAGGTATTGTCGTGATGGAATGTTGAGTTGAGAGTTTTTGCATTGGACTACAACAGGGGAGACTCTGACACGCACATAGTGGGGTCACTCGACTGAATAGAACTGAATCTGTTGTAAATGCCTGGGATTTGATCGAAACCAGTTCAAAATACAGCCCGCCGATCCCCGGTTTTTGGAGGTCTAAATCCCTACACAGACTGACCCACATAACTGTGGCATAGCGTTTCGGGTGATCCGACTGATTAACGATGGCGCGCAACCGATTTGGGAATAGACAACGCGAGATCCCAGGGATCGAGTCCAGCTTGAAGATCATGAGAATGGGCCCAGTCCTCGCCTGCGCACGCGTGCGCCCCGACAGCGATACAGGTTGTATACAACAAGTCCAGTTCTTTGCTGTTCGCACTCTGGGCACTGAGTGAGGCGATCATCCCGCTCAGCACATCCCCCGTGCCTCCTGAGCCGAGACAGGGATGTCCATTCGAGCAGACCCATACTCTGTTGTTATCGCACACAACAGTTCCGCTGCCTTTCAATACAACAATGCATCCAAAGTGTTGTGCGAGTGCTTGGCACGCGTGGATTCGTGCCATTTCGTCACCTGTCGGATTCTCGTTGAGCCCCAGCGATTGGAGCAGTCGAGCCGCTTCTCCGGGATGTGGAGTCAGGACGGCTGGGATCGTGAATGTGTGATTCGATGGATTAAGTTGTGCGAGCACATTTAGCGCATCGGCATCGAAGATCAACGATTGGCATCTTGACTCTCTCGGCAGCGTCATCGCGTGCTTGACAAGTTGTGCAACTTCGGGGCTCGTCCCGATCCCAGGTCCGATGATGATGGAATCACATTCTGATTCAAGGCGATTCAAGACGGAAACAGAGTTCCCATCGATCGGATAACCAGTCGCGTTTGGACACAGCGACAGGACGGTGCTGAGGATCGGTTCTAGAGTTGCGACTTTGACGAGTCCGCATCCCGCTCGTGTGGCGCCCATCGCCGCGAGTGCTGGAGCGCCGATCATTCGCGCTCGGAGTGAATCTTCATCTCCCGCATATCCGATACTCCCGCCGATGATACCGACTGTGCCGAAGGTTCCCTTGTGCCCGTCTATTGGACGAGGTGGAAGTTTGGGGAGTTGGGTGAGGCGCTCCATGTCCATGCGGTATTGTTGACGATCAAGATTCACAATGCAGGCTCTCATCGCTCCAGATGCGCTATATTCTGGTGTGATTGATACACACTGCCATCTGACGTTTCCTGATTACGCGGGACGCCTCGACAAGGTGCTCGATGAAGCTTCGGCGCTGGGAGTGACCGGCGCGATCAGCATCGCGACGACGACCAAGGATTCGCATGACACGCTTCGGATCGCGCATGAGCACGAGTATGTGTGGTGCACGGTGGGTGTCCATCCGCTGTATTCGGATCAGGGACCACACGATTGGGATGTGCTGCGCGAGCACGCGAAGGAACCCAAGTGTGTCGCGTTTGGTGAGCTCGGACTGGACAACCACTACGACCATCCGCCCAAAGCGACGCAGCATTCGGTGCTCGCGGAGCAGCTGAGCGTGATCGAGTCGTGCTGGGATGCTGGGGACACGCTCCCGATCGTGATCCACTGCCGAAAGGCGTTCGATGATCTGATCCCGATCCTCAAGTCGTGCAAGATCGATGCGGATCGGTTCGTGTTCCACTGCTTCACAGGCACTCCGGAGGACGTCCGCAAGGTGCTGGACTTTGGAGCGAGTGTATCGTTCACCGGCGTGGTGACCTACAGCAACGCGAAAGACGTCGCGGAAGCAGCGGTGCTGGTCCCGAGCGATCGGATTCTTGTTGAGACCGATGCGCCGTTCCTGTCTCCCGATCCAATGCGAGGCAAGCGTCCTTGTCTGCCCGGCTATGCACGATACACGGCGGAGTTCCTCGCGAAGATCCGAGGCGTTTCTTTCAGCGAGTTCCATCAGCAGATCGACGACAACACGGAGCGGTTCTTCGGCATCCGCGCTCCATCTCCATCTGATCAAGTGCTTGCGAGTGTGCTATGAGCATTGTGCAAGGGGTCAATGATCTCGGTGGGTGGTTCCATGATCTGTCTCCGTATGTGTGGAGGATCTCGGGGGACTTCGGGATCCGCTGGTATGGGGTGTCGTATCTGCTCGCGTTTGTGCTCGCGTATGTCATGCTGCGGATGCTCGCGAAGCGCGGCGTTACCCCGATCCCCAAAGACCGCATCGCCGACGCGATGATGCTGCTCGTGGGTGGGGTTATCGTTGGTGGTCGGCTCGGGTACGTGCTGCTGTACGATCCGTCGCTGTTGATAGATTTTTCGGGGTCTCTCCCGTTCTGGGGTGTCTTCCGGCTCACCAACGGCGGGATGGCTTCGCACGGCGGGTTTGTCGGCGTCATCGCCGCAGCGTGGTGGATTTCGCGTGGATTCAAGGACGAGCATGGCAATCGCGTCGGGAAGTGTCCCCCTCTGCATGTGATGGACCTGTGCGCGATGGTCGCGCCGCTCGGACTCATGCTCGGACGACTCGCGAACTTCATCAACGGCGAACTGCTCGGCAAGGTCGTCGCGCCCTTCGGCACTCAATCGCCGTGGTGGGGGGTGCGGTATCCGCAAGAAATCCTCGAGCGTCCGGACGATTGCACACCAGAGCAGCTTGATGCGGTCGCGACGATTTCTGCTCAGCACATGCTCCCGAACGAGCAGTACTGGGAAGACGGGTATGTTCGGCTGCTCGACAAGATCCAGCACGGGAACGAGCAGTTACAGGAGCAGCTGCTGCCTTGGATCTCGGCGCGGTATCCGACACAGCTCATGCAGGCGTTCTTTGACGGACTGCTGGTGTTCATTGTGGTCTGGATCATCGCCTGCAAGCCTCGTCGTCCCGGAGTGGTCGGCGCTTCGATGCTGATCGTGTACGCGCTGGGACGCATCCCGATGGACCTTGTGCGTCTCCCTGATGCCGGGATCGCGCAGTTTGGTGGATTGACGCGAGGTCAAGCGTACTCGCTGATCATGCTCATCGCGGGAGTCATGGTGCTGATTGTTGTGCACAAACGCAAGCAGCCCAAGATGGGCGGATGGGGGAGTGGTGGGGGCTCAGTCGCGCTCGCGTCCGAGACGAGCGATGCCGAGGGTCGCGCCGAATCCAAGCACGATGATCCCGAGTGATCCGGCGATCTGGACCGGGCTGGGTTTGAACGCACGCTGATCCCAGTCTTTCGCGTTGTCGTTCGCTTGCATCTCTTCAAGGTTTTCAGCCGTGACGAGCTCGCCTTTGATCGTGTCGCCGACCTCTGGAAGCACGCCAGCGCGGAATGGATAGAGACCAGCGGGAGCCGCGATGATGAGTCCGAGCAGGACTCCGAGCGTGACGCGTTCGTATTTGTGGAGCACCCAGCGGAGGATGTTGCTGACGACGACGACGCCGAGGATCACGCCGATCCCGACGGGGATGACGATGGACATCTGATCCATGACCGCGCCGAGGTCCGCGTCCTTGAGGGCGCTGATGGTGTCCTTGATTGCGCCGATGATCGTCTCATACATCCCAAGCAGCAGGAGCAGGAACGCGCCGGAGACTCCTGGGAGGATCATCGCGCTCGCGGCCGCGGCTCCGCCGATGATGAGTCCCGCTGGTCCGGAGAGTCCTGAGGAATCCGCGCCGGATTCTTGGAGGTAGACCAGTCCCGCCATAAGCAGGGCGCCGATGACCACGCCGATGATGACGTTCTTCGAGATCGGACGCACCATCGCGTAGAGGATCGGGATGCCTCCGAGGGTGAGTCCGATGAAGAGCGAGAACATCACCCAGCGGTGATGCACGAGCGACCAGTGGATCAGCGATGCAAGCCCCCCGATCGCGACCACGGCTCCGATGATCACGCATCCGAGCGTGAGCAGATCGTTCTTGGTGAACTTGAATCGCGTGCAATCCGACACGGCGTCGATGAATCGGGTGTAGATGCCGCACGCGACGAGCATTGTTCCACCTGAGATGCCGGGAACGAGGTTTGCGAGTCCCATCAACGCTCCGCCGAGCACGCAACGCAGGATCGGCACGCGATCATCGTGCGTATGGGATGCTGAGGTCTGGTTTGATTCGTTTGCTTCATTCATTGTGTGAAATGACAATAGGACGGGATCTCATGCGTTCGATGATATGATGGATGGAAAGAACGGACTGCGAGGACCTCAGCGGATGAGATACGGCATCAACATACGAACACTCCTGATCCTGAGCATCATGCTCCCGGCTGGATGCCGGAGCGTGTATCCACGAACGCTGGTTCCACAACCAGAATCCGCTCCAGCCGTGTCGTCTTCGGGTTCGACCACAGCGCCGCAGACACATGTGAGTGAATCGATTTGGCCGGCGCGATGGGGGTTTGCGTCGATTGCGCCAGGCGATCGGGTTGGGGTGATCGTCGATCTGGAGACTCCGGTCCAGCAGCTTGCTCCGGCGCACCTGTCCCGATTCCACCAGTTGCGGATCGACGAGACTGAGTACACAGATATGCACGCGCTCGCGAGCTCGTTGGGACAGATCGATCCCTACAAGTTCCAAGCGGAAGGGCCGGGCTGCTTTATCTTCGTAGATAACCCTCCGAGTGATGAGGGGAAAGAACCTGATGAAGACAAAGAACCCGATCTTGCGTTCAAGTTCATCACTGCTCAAGAAGCGGGGATGATCAATGCTGGCGGAGATGAACTCCAGCAGGTGTTGCTTGAGCGGACCTGGATGACATACCGCAGCGCGAAGGGAGAATCGGAGACTATCGGGACTGTGGTCATGATGCCTGGGATGTTTGGGACTCCAGAGCCGGTGATTGATGGACTCGAGCGGTATTTCAACTCCAAGGGGTGGGCTGTGCTTCGGATGCTGTCGCATCCATCGCGATTCACGCAGCGCCAGCAGTTTGCGGTCGAGGAGGGACGCGAAGCTCAAATCGCCAAGCAAGTCGCGGAGATGTTCGACACGCGCACGGCGGAAGCCGCGTATGCCGCGTCCGCATCGCTGCGACATGTGCATGAGCGGTTCAGCGATCATGCGGACAAGCCGGTCGTGCTGCTTGGAATGTCAGGGGGCGCGATGATCCTTCCGACAGTTTACAGCTTCGATCCCGATCTGTATGACGCGGGAGTGATGATCGCTGGAGGGGGAAACTTCCTTGAGATCAATACACGCTCGAACTACAAGAAGTGGATCGATGCCGTGGATCTGGATGCGGATCCATCGGATACCGAAGTGCAACCTCTCGACGATGATCAAGCGAGGGAGATGATCGATCTGTACCTCGTCAACTCGCGGCTGGATTCGCTGAAAACCGCAGAGAGTATGTATGGAATCCCGATGCTCATGCTCCACGGCTCATCGGACAAAGCGGTTCCATCCTCGACTGGTGATGCGCTGTATGAAGCGCTGGGGAAACCAGAGCGATGGGTGTATCCCGTTGGTCACGAGCTGATCTTCGCGGGACTCCCCATGCAGACTCCGAAGATCGAACGCTGGATGCGCGAGCAGTTGATCAAGGAGTGAACTTATTTCTTGAGTCGGAAGTGTGTGATCTGCTTCGCGCTGCCGACCGGATCGGATGGATCGAGTTCCAATCCGATCAACTCTCCAGTCCGCATCGAGCAGTCGTAGGGCGCGGATGGTCCGCCAATCAGCACATCCACAGCTCGACTCACGGTCGGATTATGCGAGATCATCGCGATCGCGTCAACATCCGCATCAGGGATGACAGAGATGAGATCCGAAACCGATCGGATCGCGGCGAGACGATCGTCAACCTGTTGGGGCTGATCCAGCGCTGTCCAGATCGGAGCAGCGGTTTGCATTGTTCTGTTGTAGGGAGACGCGAAAACCCGAGTAGGGGTTTGCGTGTGCTCTGATGAGAGGAACTCCGCGATGGCGCGTGCTTGGTTGTGTCCTCGTTTGGTGAGGTAGCGGTCAGCATCTCGGCCTGTGTCGGAGTCGATTTCTGCCTTGCCGTGTCGGATGATGTAGACGATCATGCTGTTGCTCCTGCTCCGAATGCGGCGGTCCCGATGGTGTATCCGCCGAAGACTCCGAGTAGTCCGAGCACGAGCGACATGATGACATATACACACGCGATTCCGATGCGCTGATTCTGGATAAGCTCGAGAGTTTCCCATCCGAAGGAAGAGAAGGTTGTGAATCCGCCGAGCACGCCGACGATGAGGAAAACCATCGTTGGGGATTGTCCCTGTCCCTTTGCGAGCGCCCATGCCCATATGAATCCGATGATTGCGCAGCCAACGATGTTGACGAGCATGGTCGCGATGGGATACAGGTCGAGCCAGTGGGGGGGGTCAAGATCAGTGGGGGTGACGCGTGCGATGAATCGGCCCACGGCGTATCGACCGACCGATCCGAGTCCACCACCAACAAAGACGAGGAGAAGCTTGAGCATAGTGGTACTGTACGCGATCCGGCTCAGCGTTGAGATCACGTACCAGGTGCTTTGGGGCCGCGGTCCGATGCGTGTCGCCAAGCTGTGAGCATGCCGAGGATGGCGTAGATGATGGAACTCGGAGCTTTGAGCCCGTGGATCGCGCCCTTGGTGTTGTGGTAAATGAACTCATCGCGCGTCCCATCCGCGGCCCAGTTCCAGTTGATGACGGTGATCGGGAACGAGACGGCAATAAAGACCAACAACGCGAGCAGAGCACAGGTCCATCCAAGTGCTTTGGAACCCCCGCCGGCGATGCGGACACTGAGCATCGCGATGACCGATCCCCCGATCCACATGAACTGGTCGATGCGAGGTCTGAACTCGGGCCAGATCTCTTTGAGCAACCAGACGAGTCCGATCCAGAACGCGCCCCAGAGTAGTGCGATAGGAAAGGCGCTGAGCACAGCGATCGCTGAGCGAGGTTTGTGTGTGGTCGATTCGATGCGCGATTGGGGTTGCGATCCGATGACATTGGGTTGCATCGCATGGATCTGATCAATCACATCTGTTTCATTCTCGCTCGGCGATCCGAGATCGATCTTTGTATGGGTCGGTCGCTCGTATGGTCCAAGATCGCTGAGATAGTCCAAGATCGCGTGCTCGTGCGCCTCAGACATAGGCATCCCGATGTGTCTGAGTGCGGTGTTGAGTTGGCCGATCGGATCAGCGATGAGGTCCTCGTGGCGGAGCTGTGCATATCGGGATGGATCGAGTGCTTTGAGTGATTGATCTGTAGCGCTTTCGATCAGCAGGTATTCTGCGAGAATTCTTTCACGAAGCTCAGTTGGGTCGAGGGGGTCTTCGAGCAGGTGCTGCTTGAGACTGTCGTGCATCCGCATGTTGGATTCGATGACCTTTGCTGGATCTCTGCTGATGTGCAGGAATCGGAGGCGATCGCCGAAGACTTGGATGAGTTCGTCGATGTGCGCTCCATGGCTTGGAGTCTTGAGCACAAGGACTTTGTCTTTGTTGCGTCGCGTTACTTTCCATGCGAAGCGTGCGAGCGCGGTGCGCCATCGTGTACGCTCATGCTCTGAGCATAATCCGAGCGTGTTCCACTTGCTCCATTGCTCCCATTGACTTGGGACGATCAATCGTCCTGGGAGTGTCGAGCATGATCCCCAACTCGCGAGCGCAAAGTCATCTTCGCCGGGCCAGCGTGGTCCGAACCCAACGCCGTCTTGGGGACGCGAGGAGCCGAGGAACGGGACGAGCAGGAATCGTGTGATGGCCCAACTGATGAGGAATCCCTGTCCCATCAGCGACTGGTACCAGCGCGGCGTGACGGTCTGCGGATCGCACGCGATGAGGTTGTGCGCGTGCGTGGTCCCTGATCGGTAATAGCCGAGAATGATCAGCACGCCGGGTTGATGATCGAATCGCTGTGTTTTGCCACCTCTAATCGTGTGGTACATCCAGAGCAGCAAGCGTTCAGGGGTTGAACACATCGTCCCGATCAGACTGGTCGTTCCGATTCCGAGCAAGCGGATCCAGTAGCGTGGATGGATGCGCGTGCTTCGGAGTGTGCGGAACCAAACATCGAGCGGGGCCAGCGCGAGCATGTGCGGGATCGGCATCGCGACAGTCGGTCGTCGTTTGGGTGTGGGTTTGGGTGTGTGATGTAAGTGGTCACTCTCGTTCACGATCGAGCATATGCAAGCGCTGCGTTCAGAAACGCTCGGCGCTGCTGAAGTGGGCGAGCACGGGCAAGTCTGATCGGTCTTTCGTGCGTATTGTCCCCCAATGACACAGACACCCGCCACATCGACTCAGCCGCACCCACTCCTCGTCAAGCTCGGACTTGTTGATCACCCACGCGTGGTGATGGACATCACGGGCAACGAATCCCCTGAAAGCGACGGCATCATCGTCGTGACCAACCCATCGACTGGAGAACCACTCGCGGGTGTGCGTCTGGACGACAAAGAGTCCTACGAGCAGACCACCGCTCGCTCGGTCGAAGCGTTCAAAAAATTCCGCTTGGTTCCCGCACCCAAGCGGGGCGAGCTCGTTCGGCGAATCGGTGTCGAATATCGCAATGTGCTCGAAGAACTCGGATCACTGCTGTCATTGGAGATGGGGAAGATCAAAGCGGAGGGAATCGGTGAGGTTCAGGAAACGATCGACATCGCGGACTTTGCTGTGGGTCTCTCGCGTCAGCTGACCGGCATCACGATGCCATCGGAGCGACCAGAGCACGCGATGAAAGAGCAGTGGCTCCCGCTGGGACCAGTCGGTGTGATCACGGCGTTCAACTTCCCGAATGCTGTTTGGGGATGGAACGCGATGCTCGCAGCCGTCTGCGGCGACACCACTGTCTGGAAACCATCGCTGCTCACACCACTCACCGCGATTGCGACGAACATGATCGCGGAGAAGGTCGCATCGGAAATGGGATTCGAGGACATCTTCCAGCTCGTCATTGGGACGGATGACGTGGTGGGCGAGAGCATGATCGCGGATCGACGCTATCCCCTCATCAGCGCAACGGGGTCGTGCCGGATGGGACGGCGCGTTGGTTCGGTCGTCGCGGGACGACTGGGCAAGTGCCTGCTCGAACTGGGTGGCAACAATGCGGTGATCATCGAGCCGGACGCGGATCTGGATCTGGCGCTCAAATCAACAGTCTTCGGCGCTGTCGGCACGGCTGGACAGCGATGCACCACCACGCGTCGTCTGATCATCCACGAATCCATCGCGGACTCGTTCGTCGAAAAGATCATCAAGGCGTACGAGACCGTGAACATTGGTGATGCGCTCGATGATTCGGTCCTCATGGGGCCGTTGATCAATGAGCAGTCGGTCAAGGGGTTCGAGGACGCGGTCAGCGAAGCGGTCAAGCAGGGCGGGAAGCTCATGACTGGCGGCGAGCGCATCGACGGCAAGGGCGGACACTTCGTCAAACCAACGATCATCCGCGCTCCAGCAAACAACGAGCTCCCGATGGCGTACACCGAGACCTTCGCGCCGATCATGTATGTCTTTACCTACAAGACTCTCGAAGAAGCGATCGAGATGCAGAACTCGGTCGATCAGGGACTCAGCAGCGCGATCTTTACTGGATCGAGCAACAGCGCCCAGCGTTTCCTCGCTCCGACAGGCGCGGGATCCGACTGCGGCATCGCGAACGTGAACCTCGGGACGTCCGGCGCCGAGATCGGCGGAGCGTTCGGAGGCGAGAAAGACACTGGGGGTGGTCGTGAATCGGGTTCAGACGCGTGGAAGGTGTACATGCGTCGTCAGACCTGCACGATCAACTACGGCACAGAACTCACACTGGCACAGGGGATCCGCTTTGAGTAAGCAACAGACTGCTGATGTTCTCGCTAGCACAGCGATCGCGGAGATCGTTTCAGGGATGACTGTGGGTCTTGGTGCCGGATTGACCGCTGCAAGGGGTATCCAGGCGCTGGCGCAGCGTGTGAGTGACGAGGGTCTCGATATCCACTGTGTCGCCGCTTCAGAGCGAGCCGAAGATTTGGGACGCTCGCTGGGTCTCAAGATAATTGACTTCGCGATGCTCGACGAGATCGATTTGCTCATCGACGGCGCCGATGAAGTGGATCGCACAATGGTGGTCATGAAAGGCTCTCGCGGCGCGATGACACGCGAGCGCATCCTGTGCTGGGCGTCCAAGCGGACAGTATTCATGGTCAATGAATCCAAAGTCGCAGAGCAACAGGTCGGCGTGAAGTCTCCGCTCCCGATCGCGATCATGGCGTACGGACTCGCGTCTACTCGCAATGCACTCCGTCACATCGGGATCAACGGCGTCATTCGTCAGGATATGGACGGACGCTTTTTCCTCACAGACAACGGGAACCTCGTGCTTGATGCGACGATCAACAACAACGAGGATCTCCCAGAACTCGCGATGGAACTCAATGACATCCCTGGTGTCATCGATCACGGCTTGTTCATCGACGAAGCGGACACGATCCTGATTGAGAAAGAAGACGGCTCGATCGAGACCTTGAATCGTCCAACGAGCTAAGAATAAGCCTTATTCAACGCTGTAGCCGTGCCGCTCACAGATCGTGTTCAAGCGATCGAGCGATTC